TGATCGTACTGAGGGGCACCAGTGTGAGGCTTCTCCTCCTCCTCCGGGGTGATGTGGAGGTTTTATGTCAGTGGTGACACATGACGAGTCCTCGCCCGTCAACACCGGGATAAATGATACAGAGCTGTAGTGATTTCATCGTGACCTGTGCCCTGCCTCACAGGTGTCAGGGATGCACAGAGCTCCACACAGCAGAGTCCAGCTGTGATTGGTGCCGTGCTTCAGCCAGGCGGAATCAGTTTCTTCAGATCTGAGAGTCTTACATGACAAAGATGCAGCGGGTAGATCCATAAACTCTATTTATTTTGATTTACAACATTCCTGATTCAACCAAAGGACGTTTCTTTAAAGCTGATTAACAAATAAAACCCATTTGTTAAAAATAAATCAAAGAAACTAAAATACAAATCTAAACCAGTACACTATAGAGAGGGAAAGCATTATTATATATTATAAATATATTTTTAATGAATATATTTAAGTTCAGGCTCATTTCCAGCTCCATGTTTTTATTTCTTGGAGGACCATTAGCTTTTTCAGGTCAAAAGAATCCTAATTTATCTTGGTTGCACATACTCATGCTGCAGTGTGATTTGCTGTGTTTTAGTCCATTGTTGCCAGGCAACAGGATGACATATGTCATGCATAACAAGTTTTGTATCAACAAGTTTTGTTGAATTAAACCGATGCGATGCTGTTATAAAGTGTTGCGGTGCATAAATACTCCAAATGGGTCATTTTAGCCCACTGGAAGGTGGTTGCTAGGCAACAGGATGACATATGTGATAAAGATGAAGCTGCGTACCGCTGGAAGCGACAGGGCGACCAGAGATCATAAAGTCAGTGACTTTCGACGAAATAACAGCTGGTGCAACGAGGAGGGTGGGAACCAAAATAGACTTGACTCAACTTACAGGCGAGCCAATGAGAGCGAAGAAACACCGCTGACCGACATACAACCTGGTAGTAAAAGTGTTAGAGAGTTACTAGGCAACTGGACCCTGGAATGTTCTCAGGCAATCAGTTGCCGGCTTCAAGGCGACGTGCAGTTTGCAGAGACTGAGGACTTTTAGCTCCGCCCCTTCAAGCAACGTTTTTTACGATTCACTGTTTTTGCCCAAAGCCTTGATTTGAGCAGACGGTTCTAATCTCTTGACCCGCTCAGAGGCATTTAGTATTTTCTCTTAATCTGTTCAAACCCGAGGAAGCATCACAGTGCTCCTCCGGTTTCACTGAAGGCTCTTCTACCGTTACATGTGATCACTTAAGAGCTTTTACTGTGCTGAGCTGCAGTCGTCCACTCAGCTGTGGGGTTATTTAGAGATAATAATTAGAAAGTGTAGCCCTCCCAGCATTATATATGCTGCTGCACTACATGGAAATCTTTATGTAGGGGGGTAGACAGAAAATCCAAACGGTGATGTCAGTGAGGAGGATCAGTCCGACCTTTGACCTCTGCTCATCTCTCTGCAGGAACGAACAGAAGAAGAGTGGGAATATTTCTTCCTGGACGACTAAGACCCACCTGACCAAAGGCGACTACCAGCCGCATCTTGGAGCCGGCGCACGCTCAAGCGTTATACCTCAACATTTCATGGCCGGCCCTGCCAAACAGCAGACATATTAAAACTTTAAATAAAAAAACATTTAAGAAAAACAAAGAAACATCAGCCTATATGTACCGGACTGCATTCAATAGCAGCAATGTGTGAAGTGTTTAAAAAGTGCATTGCGTTGTGTGTGTGTGTGTGTGTGTGTGTGCGTCAGGCTGAACGCTCGGCTGAATTCAGGGCAGCGAGAATATTTTAACACCCGTACATTTACAATCAGAATAAACTGATGCTTCTGACCAGGAATGCTCCGTGTGTGTCTTTGTAAACACCTTACGACTGAGGCTAACACAACTCAATTCAAGTTTTATTCACAAAAAGATAAAGACCTACAACACACAGAGGAAACCCCACAATCATATCACCACAAACGCTTTGTGACAATGGGAAGGAAAACTCTCTTTTAACAGGAAGAGACAGCAGGCTTGGGAGGGACAGCCATCTGCTGTGACCATTTGGGGTGGAGCGGAACAGAGAGTGACAACTATTCAGACTGTGCTAGACACCCACACGCAATTTAGATTCACTAGTTAACCAAACCAGTCACTGCAAGTGTTTAGACTGGAAGTAAACCAGAGTACCAGACACACCCCAGGATTTGAGCCTTGTTGGTGTGAGGCAGCAGTGCTAACTGCAGACACCTAGGAGCTGAAATATGGTTTAAAGCATTTTCATGAACTCTACACCCTTTAGATCAGAGGTGATCAATCAATTCTACAAAGGGGCCACATGAGAGCTGGGACTGTTGTGGAGGGCCTCACCAATAGTTTTTTGTTTTTTGATAGTTGCAATTTACGGACGTTCCCTAAACACATCACGTTTTAGTCACGGAGAAAGGCAGCTATAAATAAACAACTAGTGTATGCCTGTTACTGCACATGGTGTGCAGAGACCGTCATGTTTGTTTCATGTTAACCGGATGATGTTATGATACATATCATCCTGCTTCCACTGGGTGGCGCTGTAACTGACCTGTTATTGGCATGTTGAGGTCTCCAGAGTAGAGATTAAACAATGTGTGGGGTTATTTCAGCGTTTGTGACGGCATGCAGTCAGTGGCCTCAGGGTGGATTCAAAGCAGGCCTCTGAGTTAGCCTTGTGGCAGACAGAGAAAAGGAAATGGTAATGTTTGCGGTGACTTCCTCCTTGACTTATCACTGTCACAAGAATTTCAGAAAACTTGGCATTGAGGTTATGGTCACTGAGATTTTTAGTATGAAACTCCTACGTTCCCTTGTTCTCAAGTTGAGCCTGCCCAAAAGTGACATTGAGCTAAGCTTTTCAAAACAAGGTAGTTAATCAGAGATTTCATTGCATCATTTAAAAACTGCACATTGTACTTACTCATGTTATCTTTGTCTAATAATAAAGTTTGATGACCTGAATCAGTTCTTCACGGCACTTCACTGAAGTTTGTTGTGCATTGCAATAGTTACTACGATATGCTAATAATATGCTAAAAGATTCTGAAATTTATTCACCCAAAAATCAACCAACAGCTCCAGAGGCAGCATCTGAGCCAAAGGTTTATTTATTTAACCACATAGAAAATCAAATCCAAACAGCACATTTTTGTTCTATACAGCAGTGTTTCTCCGAGCACAGAGAAGTAAACTCAGCAAACATAAGGCACTGGATCTGAGGCTAGACGACCAGAAACCAGCAGACGGACCTGAAAGAAAAATGTCCAAGCACAACTCACAGTGACCAACAGCCTGATGGGCGCTAACAGCAGCAGCAGTTCTTACACTCCTTTCCAGCCCGCTCCCCTTGGCTTTTTGCTCCCCCGCACTGATCCACTGAGCTCCCAGTATTAACAACATAAAAACAAACACGACAAATTTATCTTTGACTCATCAGAGGAAGACTTCTGTAAATAATTTTAGAGAGAGGAGCAGACAGAGCGCTTTGTGTCTGTGCTTACCTTAGCATAGAGACATGGGCACAACAGCTAGGCGAGCACGCCCATTTAAAGCTTGTTACTGTATGCAAAAACTGAATCTGGGGATTGGCGGGCTCACCTGTGCTAAGCTAGCTAGCTGTGTGTAAAACTAAAGTGGGAAAAAATTTGGTTTAACTTATTAGATGTTATCTATATACAAAAATGCTAACTTTCTCCGACAGTCATGGCTTTTCCCACTGCTTGTGCTCAACTAACTAGCATGATGTAAAAATAGGAGTGGAAAGATTAAAAAAAAAAAACATATGGTTTTAAGAGAGTTACTAAAAGATTGATTTATATAGGAAATAGGAAAATGCTACTTTATACCTCAAGGTTTTTTTTGCTAAGCTAGCTAACAAGCTTTGCTAAGCTGTGCTAAATAACTATATGTACAAGTGAGAGTATGGTTTTATGAGTTGTTTTTTTTTTATAGATCATAGAAAATTATACTTTACAGTCATAACTGATTTCCCGCTGCTAGCATTAAACTGTGATAATAGAAATAGAGGGGAGAGTATGGTTTTAAGAGAGTTACTAAATGTATTTATATAGCAATGGTAATTTATGCCTTTTTTACTATATATCTTTATGAAATGAGTATTGTTCTATGCCAGTGTCATTAGATTGAGTAGCATTTTGCTACATTAAAAAAAACAAAGTCTTCGCTGATTTTCCGTTGCTTTATGCTAAGCTAAGCTAAACTGCCACAGACATGAAAGCGTTTCCTCTCAGGCAAGAAAGCTAATAAACATATTTCCCAAAATCTCAAACACAACCAGTAAAGAACCCATACATTCATCATGTCAACACAGTGGGTAACTTTTTTAAATCATTCACAATCCTCGTAAACAAATTTTGAGCTCGACATTCATTGAATCCATTCGTCTGAGTGATAAGAAATAGTGCTAACATGCTATGCTAATGCACTTAAAAGAAAAGAGGAGGATAGTGTTTATGTTTTGATACAAAGCAATAAGCTTGTTGATTTAGAGGCAGCAAAACACAAATGGAGTTTTAGATTTTCCGACTCGGGTCCACACTGCATTTCCATGGCTGCCGTCTACACCAATCAGATCTCCAGAAAAAAGCAAAAGAAGAAAGAAAAAAAAAATCACCACCTGTGTCCTCTTCTCTCATTGGCTCAGAGCTAATACCGTTTCTTCGCGAGCCCATCCCATGTGGGCAGGGTTAGGCTGAATATAGTTATACCCTACCCCCATATCTCTTTCCTGTCTACTCCTGTACACGTCCCTGGTTGGATCGTAGCCACCCCTTCCTCTGCCTCCTCTCCCTCTCTTCTCTGTAGGGCCTCCTCTGCCCTCTGTAGTTTGGCACATCGTTTTAAACCCCTCCACCTCCTCCCAGTCATCCTCCGTGCTGCAGCCCACAGAATGATTGTCCGTCATGGTGACAGGCTTCATGTAGCTGCCCCTCTGGCTCTGTCATACACGTTGGTGGCATGGACTGGTTTCCGGGGACGGTATTGCGACGGAGAGCCGGGGCTGCTGCTGCTGCCTTTCATAGCTCCCATGGAGATGTCCTTAAAGTGCGGATCAGAAAGCAGAGCAACCTGAGAGCGAAACAGAAGGAGGTCCTGTTACAAGTAACAAAAAATAATTTCCCCAGGGATCAATAAAGTATTCTGATTCTGATTCTGAGAGGATATGATGCAGCATGACTTTCAAAATAAAACACCTAGTAATAAAAAGCTACCAGGACGCTCTGGATGTCAGACTTTCTAATAAAAGCCACAGGGTAGAGAAATTTAACTGGTTTCTTTAAACACTCAGATTTACATACTAAGAGCAGTTAGTTAACAGGATGTTAAAGGATGGGTTTTAGTGGGGGGGGAGGGGGATCTCAATTGATGGGATTCAATTTCTTAAGATCTCATCAGATTATTTGAGTAACAACTTTTAAAACAAATCACTTTGTTATGAAAAGCTACCAGGGAGTTCAGAAATGTGACCATTATGGAAACTGTCAGATTCCATAATAAAGCCAACACCTGCTTACAGGAAATTGAAGGATGCCTTTCAGTGATCTTTAAAGATAAAAGCCACTTCTAACTACTTATTAGATATTAGTTTCAAAATCAAAACCCGAAGTTAATTTGATTAGGTTATCAGTTGCTCAGAAATATACGTACTATGGGCATGTCGTTAAGTGGCGGATCCACCAGGAGCACTGCTCGTGGCAAACTCTCCCCCGGATCTCTCTTGAAGCCTATCAGGAAAACAAAATGAATTAAAAATTTTTCCACCTGACAGTTAAAAGAAGCCATAACACTTTGAAATGTAAGGACTTCATCTCCCAGAATTCCTGCTTACTATAATTGGATGGGACCATCACTGATCGGTTACTGTGGTAGTGGGAATGTTAGACGCAGCGGCGCTCTCCAGAGGACTGGAGATGTGGATGTTCCCGTGGCCAGGCATCGTGTCCCCGTTGATGCCTGAAGCTGGTGCTGCTGCATCGCCCCCTGGCTCACCTGAGCTCCTGGTGGGTGGATGCAGTTGATATGCCAGAGAGGAGGGGCTGTACGGACCCATGGCTGTGGGGTACACCGGACCCCCGCGCCTGATTTGGGTGGTACCCTGAGATGAAGGCGGGGGACCCGAGTACGGTGGAGGTGGGGAAAGATACCCAACTGAGTAGCTGGGTTTCGTGCAGGCATCTGTTGCCATGGCATCCTGGGGGTTTGGCTGGGTGATGGGGTACCTGGCCTGGTTGAAGGAGGGTTCAGCCGGACCGGGGAGCTCATCGAGCGCAGCCTGGTTGTCATATTGAGAGGGCACCGGTGTACAGTGGGAGGGTACTGGTGAGGCGGATAGCCTCCTGCGGGTTGGTGGGGGTTGCTGGGGGTGTTAGAGGGAAGGCACTGTGGGACGGGGAACGGGAGATGGCTTGGGGCTGCATGGCATGGGCCTGCTGCAGGGGACGAGGTACAGGTATGGTGGGTATATGGGCATGGATAGGCCTGTAGAGGAAGAGAGCAGAGGCAGGATCAGCATCAGCCCCTCGTTATTTTACTTAAAAGTGCATCAAAATAACTTTATTTAACAAAATTAAAGTACATCTGTAGTGCTTGGCATTATTTTTACATAATTTACCACATTAAATCTGTGTAAACAATACCTGTTGCTAGCAACTGGGGCATGCTGCATCAGAATCATTGTTTACGTGGTTGATTTTTGTTTTTATTCCAATGTTCCAAAATACAGCACACGATGAATCAACTTGTTAACAGGAAATGTGAGATGATGGGCTTTTACTTTAACACAACTCTCAATCCTTCTCCAAACCTGGTCTGTGTCTTGTGGTGTGCGTTTGTGTGTCTGTTGGTCCAGGCTTACGTCTTACCTTAACGCCCAAGTTAAGAAAAACCTCAAGATGTTGACGTCTGAGGAGAAAACAAAAAACCACAAGGATACAAAATCCTGATCAGATATCTCTTTCATGGTGTTGCTCACTGCGCTGACACATCGCAGCCTCTACTTTTGCTCCATGAAAACACTGACATTAACATACAAAACTCATCTCTAGTCTATTTCAGCTGCTTCGTCTCACAGGGAAGCACAGCATGTTCTTTATGTCTGACCCTGCCTGTATGGTGGCCTTCGTGCACATCTGTGATATTTTCTTGCCTAAATGGGTCAAAAGCAGTTTTTTGTGGAAGGACAGGTGTTTCCCGCTGAGGAGTCCGTGTAGGACATCCAGTGCTGATTAACTAAAGCATGTGGATATTTTCTCATGTTTTCAAATCTGCTGAAACACTTCGTCATGCCTAATTTTTTCATTATTTCGTTTTACTTTGACAGTCAGCACCGTCTTTGAATATAGAGCTGTGAGTCTCAGAGCACGACACAGGCATGGCTCTGATGGCTGATCTGATGTTCAGTTTTCTATGGCGACAGTTGACGGGTTATTTATCATCTTAGGACTCTTTGGTGTGGCTCACCTGTGGGCAGGTCGTCCCCGACTTGTTGGAAGAAAGGTTGGAGTCGCAGCTATCTCGCCTCTCTCCCCTGGGGGAATCCGGGATAAAGGAGTCCTGTAGAGCTGGGACATCTGCTGCAGGGACGGATCCGGGAGGGGCTGAGGAGGAGCAGTATGAGGGGTGAGGTGGGGATAGCTTCTCGGAGGCAGGTGGAGCTTGAGACTCGGTGCAGACTGGTGCTGTGTGGTGGGGCTTCGGTTTGGGTCTGGGGAACAATGTGGAGGCAGGAGAGAAAGGGAGGGATGTGGGACCTGGGAAGGGTGAGGACCTGGGCGGGGGGGTGGGGAAGGAGGCCTGGGGTAGAACCACAGGAGTGGATAAGAGGTCTGAATGTGGGCTGGAGGTCAGTCTGAGGCAGGACAGGCGCCTCTGTGCCAGACTGCGGCTGATCCTGGGGCTCGCTCAGCATCATGGTGGCCCATGATTGTGGTAGAGAACCTGACTTTCAGTCTGGATTTGGGGTAAGAAGACTCTGCTGTTCTCAGCTGAGGCACAGAGACCTGGGTCTGGACCTCAGGTGGAGGAATTTCACTTTGGAAAGCCTGAGATCCATCAGAGGGCTCCAGTATTTGGTAAGAATCTGAAAGAAAGAGAGACATGAAGACCAAAGTAAATTACTGACTGCCAGCTGCTGATACATTTACAATTATCTGCCTAAAAATACAAACAGTCAAAATTAACACAAACTAAGGGGTGAGAACAATACTTTCAATTAAACTTCAATATATTGTTGTCTGTTAATCACTTACTGATTTCACTTTATGTTTATTAAATCCGCTGAAACTGAAAAACAATCTTCAATTCCCAACAACAGAATAAACCTGTTACAGCACAGTACAAAAATCCCTTTGGATCATTTCACCCTTCAGAACAACTCTACCTCTTTTCTTCTTTCATACGTCACCTGTGAGTTTTATAAAGGCTTACAGTTGAAATTATAAGGGTGTGGCCACTTCACTGTTAGCTGGTACTAGCCCCAAAAAGCCTAGCCACACTGGCTATAGCCATCATTTAAATTGTTTACTACTAAACACCCAGAGCCTGAACCACCTGAGCAACCCCAAAAAGCTGGAATGGTAATAAACAAAGCTTTATTTTGAAAGGCGCATCTGATTCAAAAGGATTTAACCCCCAAAATAAACTTAAAAATAGTTTTTACTGGTTTAAACTGAAAGTCTGCTACTCTGTGTCAGTCTGGGATATCTGTGTATTACTTCTGTGACAGCCTGCAGTCTAACTGTGACACGAGCCTGAAACTGAACAGATTTCTTACTTGTGTTGGAGTGGAGCAGGTGAGCCTCCCGGACTTCAGCTGAAGAGAATTAAGGAGGAGGAGGAGGGTGGAGTCTGAGAGCAGAGGAGAGAGTGATAGTGGAAGGAGCGGGCGGCGGGGAAGCCTGTGCAGCTGTGGGTGGGAAGCAATGGAGTGATGAAAGTGGGAGGAGAACTGAGAGAAGGAGGAGGAGAGGTGGTTGGCTTAGGAAGATGAACAGATGCAGGGGGGTTTAGAGGATGAGGAGGTGGTGAACTGCGGGGAGAACGGGGGCTGTAGGAGAAGGCAGATGATGGGACAGAGGAGGCAGCGGTGCTCGCCTTTTGGAGAAGGTTTAGCAGCAGAGGAGCAGCAGGAGGAGGAGAGAGCCGGCGCAGCAGTGGTGAGGCGTAGGAAGGTGTGTTTGTTTAGCAGCCGGAGCTACAGAGTGAGTGGAGGCTGAAGAGGGGCTCGCATTTGGCATCAAGGCCTTGAAAATTCAGCCCGAGGGGGTGGAGTCAGAGGTTAGCAGCAGGAAGGGCGGGCTGGTCATGGTGTCAGGTGTAGTGGTTGTAGAGGTTGCTGTAAGAGGTGGGGTGGGGGTGGGTTTGTCCAGGGCAGAAGGAGACGGCTCTACATCTTCAACGGGGCTCTTCTGTAAAAGGACGAGCAGCAGCGATCAGACTCCAGGTTTTAAATTCAGACGTCCTGAAGGTCTCAGGTAACATTTCAAGACCAAATGCCAGAAAAAAACCAGCTGCTCAGCTTCTGGGTCAGGTGGAAACTTCAGATTTGATAGATCATATATGGATGACCACATTCTTCATAGAGCTTCCTTACTGAAGTCCCAGGTACGAAGCAACTAGAACTCGTGCACTCATAGGCTTTTTTCATTTCAGAGTTTTTACCGATTTAAAAATCACCTCGTGGTCTCGCTCTCAAATCGTTTCTCGTTGGAACGATTGCGTCTCCTTAAAGAGCATGGCAGCACAGCTTATGTTACATCGAACAAAGTCAGCGCGGTGGTGGAGCGATGATGATTGGCACCATCCATTGATCATACATGAAGCCATCTTTATACAAAGTGTTCTGTGTAAATGTAGCCCCCGTCAGCTGTCTGACACACAAACACTGTCATGCAACAGGACGATGGTCCAAGCCAAATACAACCAAATGCTAAAAAAACGAAGCAACCATGAAGTCCATGGAGGGCTGTGGTGAAAACTTAAGAGCTTTGCATAAATACCATCTGTAACCTCAATGACTGGAAGCAAACTTGTAAAGACATCAGGTCAAAACTGGTCCACAGTGATGTGAGGGAAGGACAGTCTCAAAGAAGCTCCTGAATGCTGTGACGTACGTAGTTTTCAGAGGACGGCAAACGCCACGAGCTGACAGCGTGCGATTAGTTATTTTAATTATTTAACTTATGTTTTGTATTCATCTTCTGTTTTATGTTGTTAGTTCTAAGTATTTAGTTTTATTCAGCAATCTAATTTCCTACAAAGCTCTGATAGGCTTTTAATTTGATTCTTTATTAGCATTCATCTCATTTCTAATGTTCTCATTTAATTTCATGTACTCTAATTCTACTTGCAGGCCTTTCCATTTTAATTTAATTTCTTTGAATGTTTTGGTTTTAATTTGAGTTCGTGTCACTGCTGATTATTTTGTTTCATCCCTTTTCTTCTGTCAGTCGTCTGTGTGAAAGGTGCTTTACAAATAAGTTAGCATCAGTGTATCACTGAGCCTCGGCACCAGGATGCTTTTAACTTTAAATGTAGATCGTTGCATTAAACCTCCTAAATGAAGACAGGAATGTCACCGGCTGCTCCCATTAACATCATGTACGCACTAACTGAGCAGGCGAAATCATTCACAGCTGAATGTGAACAATGTCACATACCATGCGGTGCCTTTTTGTGCTGGTGATTAATGTTAGGGTGTTTAGTCTGTTTAAATCAAACTCTGGTTAGTTTCCCCTTTTGATGAGGCTGTGCAGATGTGAACACTGTACAGAAAACACAACCTCCAAAGTACAGTTCACAACGAACACAGCGGTTCGTTTATGGTGTGAACGCGATCCAAACCAACTACTATAAGCTTGAGCTACAGCACGCCCGTAAGCTTGTGTTCTTTTGTATTCTCTGCTGAAGGTCCTACAGATGTGCAGCGGTCTGTGCGGGATACCAACTAGCTGGGAAATGAATCAATTCTCCATTTTCTCACACAGCATCTTCTTCCTGTATTACTTTAGTTGCTTCCACACCAGACGCATCAGGCCAATGAGCAGACTGAAATGCTCTCACGTAGTTTGTAGTGATGCATTCTGGTCCGCTTGGACTTCGCTGTGTGCAAACAAACGAAACTGCGAGGGAAAAGCTGCAAGTTTACAAACTCATCAGCTGATTCGGACCAGAGGAAATGGCCCTGAGAGCGTTTCTGCATCATAACATGTCTCCCTGTTTGTGTCCGTTTGTGGTCTGAACTCACCGTCTTGTTCCTCTGAGATCGCTTCTTCTCTCCTTTCCTCTTCCCTCCCTCTCCCTGCGTCCCCGGCTGAGACTGAGGGAGAAAAACAAACATTAGAAACATTAAAAACTAAAAACATCTGCTGAACAAGAAACAGCGTGAGCATGATGAATTAAATCCAAACTCTCATCCTTCCCGGAGCGTCGTGTATCAGCCTCTGAGGAACATTTTCAGACTTTACATGTCCTAACAGCGAGCCTGGAGCTCGTTAAACATTTTACCATATGGCCACTTGCTGTGTGTTTTCTCTGTATCCCATCAATGCACTATTCCCCGAGTCCACATCAATACTTCGACATAGAAACACAACACTGAGGAAAATGAAGGAGAGGAAACGAAGCAGTGAAAATAGTGTCTGTAAATGTGAGTAACACTCCTGTCTGGCAGTCAGAGGTGAGCGAGGTAGAAAATAAACATAAAACTCTCAGTAAACTACGACACGGCGCCTGCAGGCTCCTCGACAGCCGTAAAACTGAACACCTCTCTGCGCTGTCTGGGAATCGTCAGTGAATCTGGCCCCAGATGTTAAACATCAGCTCGCTGCCTTTCTAAAAGGGTTCAAACTGGCCGACCCAGCCTCAGCAGGACGTTCAGGTTTATCTGCACCTATCATGAAATCAGCCTCATGTGAACTCACGCCCAGTGCGGGGAAGCTGTGCTCGTCTCTGAGCTGAATCTCCACCAACGCCACGTTCCTCTCCTCCTCCTCTTTGGCCAATCGCTGCTCCTCTGTCAGGCCGAACGCCACCTCCGCCGCACCCACGGACTTCCTGTAGAAAGACACAGAAATGCAGAAGAACTTTATTTAATCCAAAGAGCAACAACAGCAGCGTAAAATGAAAAGAACTACAAAATAAATAAACTAATAATCAAGCTCAAAATGATATTTATGCTTTATATAAACCATAGAGGAAGATTATGAAGGAGGGTTCAGTGATCGTGTCATTGTGTGATCCAGCACTGATGTATACAAACAGAGATGACACACCTGCTGGTTTTGGCCCCGCCCTGCTCCTCTACATTGGCCTGCGGGGGCCAGGAGTGCTGCTTCAGCGTGCGGCCCCCTGAGCCCGCGCCGCTGCCTGAGAACCAGAGGACGACGATGGCCCGACGGACTTCCCCTTCCTCGGCCTCTCCCCCGCTCCTCCCACTCTGAAGGAGAAAGAGAGTTTCCACAGACTGCACTCATGCAATAAACCTGTAACATACGCGTGCGCGCACGTGTTCACCTCCTCCGTGCCCGTTGCTGAGCCTCTTGTCACGGTTGCCCACCTTGCTCCACCCGCTGTCATCACTGGGAGGGCGGACACTCCACAAAGGCACCACCTGCCTTAAAACACACATAACAAGATTGTCACGTCTGTGCAACCTCCACGACACTGAGCGTGTGTGCGTGCTGTTAGTGCGACCTACTTCCTGCCCAGATCTTCTATGTAAACGGTCACTGGCTGGTTATTGGCCGGCACCTCCTTGATGACGGCGCTGTAGAGCCGATTGGTTCCCTCGAGACGAACCTGCAGGTGACGCACAAACAGCGTGAAACATGCACTCGATGAGGATCTCACACACACACACACACACACACACACACACACACACACCTGGCAGCGGTCTCCTACAGTGAACTGCATCCCAGCAGCGATGCAGTAATCCAGCTTCTGTTGGGCTAAAAGAAAAAAAGAAAATAAAATGTGAAACATTCACTTTTAACTTTTGTTAAAAAATGATTTTCTGATTACTTTGAGTCCAAAAAGTGTTCAGAGTTCCCTTTCAGATCTTTTATCCCCAGCCTGACGTCTGTTTTCAATCTTCCTACAAAATCCAAAAACAGGGCTGATTGTCACACTTTCAGCTTCTGCACCACCTGCTACGCTGCCACTGTTTTGCATATTTAAACACAGGTTATCACATCCAGCTGCTGCTGCCTGCCACCAACAGCTGTGTCCAGCTAAGTGGAGCAGTGGTCCTCCGCTTTAACGATCAGGCTGGGCACAGACGTCCCGCCTCATCGACAAGCCGGGACGGCGCTCAGAGCCAGTACCAGTCATTCTCTTAGTAGATGTTAAAATTGTACACAGCCTCAACACTTCTGCCCTCTGACCTCATCAGGAGTCATGCCTCGTTCTCGCATTACTGCAGTCACAAACTCAGGTGTCCACCTCACCTGCAGGTCCACACTGGGGTTATGACCTGATCAGTTACGGCCAAGAGGTAAAAATGTAGTTGACATCGAGCCCCGACGTGCCGTGAGGAATATGAACTCTTGTTGGCAAAGAAATAATTTCAGAGAGCCGGCTGACCCGGACTTGTTGCCAAATGCAGCGCTCTGATTGGTCAGATCTGTTTATTCGTGTTTGAAAAAAAGATTACAAAATGGTTTGAAAAAATAAAAGCCTCAAATCTGCCCAGTGAAGTGATGCAGTCAGCGTTAACAGCTGTAGTTAAGATCAGGCGAGTCTGACTAATTTTACATGTTCGACATGTGAAGGAGTTTAGTTTATATTATATAATCACTGATGTACGAAGGACGCCATCCAAAAGTCAGTAGAGGATCAAAGCCGTGAATGACAGCTTTGATAAACCGTGTCAGCATAACTGGCGCTTCACAGCAGGGTCATAGCCTCGGGAACATCCCAACAGAATCCCATTGGTGTGCAGAGAGTTCAATACAAAGTCCATAACTGCAAGTTGTCCCAAACGTTCAACTCTGTAAAGCGTCCACATTGAACATTACAGTCTGACGATCAGCGGGCAGTTTGAAGCAGCCCCGAAAGAAAACCAAGCCCAAGACGACAAATCTCAACAGTGAGTCTGCGCTGCTATTTGAAGTCTGAGTTAGTTTAATGAATATAAAACTGTCTCCTTTGAGTCTATATTTATACGTAATGTGATTGTGACCTCTGCAGCTGACAGGGTTTCCCAGCATTTATCCAGCACCACAGTAACACCTGAGAAACCTGAAGCACTTCCTGTGGTTTCAGTGGGAGCTTACCACACATTACCAGCACTCACTCAGGTGTGATGCACATCACAGATACACATCATGCACTCCCAGCATATTTCTAACAGTGGCGTGCCTGCAACACCACAGGAACCAGTGTCTCCTCTCTCTGCTCACATCGGTTTGCTCTCAGCTCAGCCAAATTCCCAACTAAACGATCCTCGCGTTTGCTTTTGTCAGACCACTGTAGGAAATAGTACCACCAACATGGCCGGTTATAACCGATGCAAACCAGCCTTTACTTTTAAGCAGTGTTCTGGTCTGCTCGTCTTCAGTCACCCGTCCAAGCAGCCGAACGTTCTTATAACTTATGAAAGTGTTCTTGACCCATACGTGACCATCAGACTGCTGCTTACACCACTCACATCTTTAATGTGCTGCATACCACACATCCCTCCAGCCCACGCACATGTGTAAACACAAGAATGTGTATTTAATTTTACTTAGTTTTTAAACTCGTGTTGCTCTAGTTATTTTTATCCTGTGAAAATGTTCAACAAACATGTTTCATCGTAACGTTGACCTCGCGTGAACTTACACACGACAAACTGATAGTGAAGCAGGTCGTTTCTTTGGACATCGCCCTGGGATCTGACTACTTTTAGACGCATGCTTTGTTTTCTGTGTGTGTGTGTGTGTGTGTGTGTGTGTGTGTGTGTGTGTGTGTGTGTCACCTCTCTTGGACTTGTGCCAGACATCGTACTCCACATTTCTGAGCAATGTCGGGTTCAAAGATCGCCTCACCCTCTGAGGCAGCCCACGCCCACGGCCCTGTTACACACACACACACTTCAGTGACAGTACTACCCTGTGTGGTTGTTATAAAACATGTGTTTTATGAATGTTACCCTGTAGCTTTGGTTGTGCTTTGTGGAGGTAGGGCTGGTTCCATTTTCCACCCTGAGACACAAAAACAGACATCATGAGATTATTAAAGCCTTAAAGTTTTACTGTGTTTGATAAAAGGAGCTGAGAACACTTACAAAGGAAATAAAGTGTCAATATGTCCAAATAAGTAGGTAATCAGTTTTTAGTATACAAAAGTAAATCAATAACGATGAGGAAGTAAACAAAACCAGCAGCCTGTGAATTCACTGCCAGTAAATAAAAATGAAGTGTGAGTGCTCGTTTACTAAAAATCAGGCACAAGGTGCTGGATTTTGACTCATTTCCCTTCACAGTAAAAGTTATCATGCAGGTGAATAAACCGCTGCTTGATGCCAGTTTCCTACCACAGCGCCTCGTCTACATCCAGGTCGGAGTCGTCGCTGCTGGGGCAGGCGGGCATGCAGTCGTCGCTCAGGAGGTCGGCGGGTCGGCCGATCCGCTGACAGGAACCCAAATAGCTGCGGTCCACCTTAAACACGCCTTCGTACAGCAGCTCGTACAGGACGGCTGCAGGAGAACCACACAGAGACTCGGGATGAGGGTTTTTCTGGGGTTTGCTGCCGTGTTCGTGTGAATCACAGGAGGTCTAATTATAGCCTGAAGTCTAACTTTTGATAAGAGGCGAGACAGAAATTCAATATTTGAACCAAGAAAAAAAAAAAGTGAGTGAATGGGTAACCCACGCTCTGTGGGCTCATCCAGTTTCATTAAACTGTAATCACTGACTTACTGTCTTTGCAGGCTGCATTTAAGTGGATGGATTGATTATGATGAACAATCACATAATAATACAAGACTGTCATGTTGGGCGAGCCTCGACTTTGACTGCCACCTTTTTAACAAAGCATCAGACCCCTGCTGTGGGCCTGTATGAAGAATAGCCTGTAGTCTCTTTTCCACTGGCATCTACTTGGCTTCACTCTACTTTGTTTCAGTCGTTTTCTATTACAACTGAGCGAAACCTCAATGTAGGCGAAGCAGTTACAGCAAGGCAGCCCGAAGCCCCACAAGCTCTTTGTACGCGACACAAACACAACAATGGAGGGCATCGGGGTGCAGGTATACCTGCTGCTCGGCCCATGTGGCGATTAGCTGGTATTATCCGGTACCTACTCAGCCAGGGTTTCACTCCGAAAATGTGACGTCAAAAGACAGAATGTCACTGATTGGCCAAGAAGTGAAAACACCACGTGAGTCACGAGCGTAACGCCTTCACAAGAATTTTGAAACCCGACGATGAGGAAGACGGCTGCACCACAACATCGTGGTCCAGCAACAAGGTGGGTTTTAGCAGCAGGCGTACCATCACCCTGACGTCCTCCATTGCTGTGTTGTGTTTCTGTCGCACACAAATGACGTCAGGGGAGTTTCGGGCTGCCATGTTGAACTATGTTTGAGCTGGTACTCAGTGAGACACGCTGGGTGGATGTGGGCCACGACCCCACTCTACACCCCTACAAGGTTTCACCACTTTTAGAGATATCGTGTTCACAGACAGAACGCTACATGAAAAACTTGACCTTCACATCAGAGGTAACAAATACGTTTGATAGACGATCCCGAGGTGAAGATTTAAGGGGGAAAGTGATACGAGGGCTCAGGCAGTAAAGCATCTACCAACCAGAAGATCGAAAGATCAGTCTGTTCCTTTGGTCCAAGTATCCTGAACCCCCACGTTTTGACTGTGTTGTAATGTTAGATAGTGCTGCATGAATGTGTGTCTGTGACAGGGTGAGTGAAGTGAATCTAGTTTGTAGTACAGAAAACGTTCTGAGTCAGCAGACACCTGCGAGCTGCTCACAGACTGAGTTTAACTTCTGTGTTTATGCTGCAAAGTGTCAGTTTAGTCGGGTCGCTGGACTTCAGAAACTTACACTACAGGAAACACTACAAGCTTACGTTACATCAAATTAACGGGCAGTAATTAGACGACAGCGACTGTTAGAGATGTCAAACAGAGACATCAGTGTTAAACGCTGGACACACAGCAGCATGGATCAGAGGCTCTGCAGGCTCTCCTGTGATTGTTCACCTTTAGCAGAGTTAAGACAAAACCAGTTTGAGCAGCGTGGTTAATGACTCACGCTGCTCCTCTTGCACACTGACTAAGAAGTGTTATGAAGACTTGAGCTGAAAGGGTTTCCTCGGAGTGCCGCAGCCTTACACTGACTATGTGGTGTTTGGTTATAATGTGGTCTCTGTTCTCTCATTTTCTCTGCCGAGTGCCCACATTTTGATTGATGTTCTCATCTGTTTGTTATGAATTCACTGAGACTTCTCTTCAGTGATGATTACCCTCCCTGAGAGGATCTGCAGGATCAGTTAAACTCTTTTCCGCTCTCCTTGTTTTACAAACAAATGAAATCACAGACACTCACACTGGCAGAGTGCGGTGTTCTTGATCCGGCTGATGGGATAAACGCTGTCATAGTGATTCCCGTTCAGGAAGCACAGCTGCACCTGTAGAGGCAAACAAACGGTTCGGCTTCAGTAAATAAAAGAGTGGAAACTGAAGCGAGAAGAGCCTGAAAGGCTTCGGGGATGAACCGATCTTTTTTTCCTGCTTTAAAATGTCCGGTAAAGACAAAATAACAAGCTGTGTCGTTTGAAAAATCGCCGTTAGCGTCTCAAAGCTTCCGCCTGACAGCTTGGTGTATTTTCTGAAAGTTTCCTCCGACAGGAAATGCAAATCGTGTCTCTAACTAAACGCTCGGCCGAACGCGTCCACCTCACCTTGTCCTTGAAGTTGTTGCCTGTGATGTTGACGGCTGGCTTGCCGGGCTCCTGGAAGATCAGAAAATCCCTCCTGCAGGAAGAGATCAAAAGAGACGAAGAGAGAGAGAGGAGAGGATGAAATGAGATGACGAAGCTTTGGTGACTCATCGTTTTCACCATCTGATGCTAAACTCGGGGGCAGGAACGCAGATTCCTCCAACTATAAATGAGGACGAGCTTCTGCACGTTTGGACCCAGAGAGCCAAAGCTGTCACACCTGGGATGATTTCACCGCCACCTCGGGATGCTGCTTCATATCTGACTGAGATGCCCTTTAAAGCCTAACTCAGGGTTTAAGTGTTGCCGTGTCGACAGACTGATGGTCGTTGCCGACCTGTTAAGACCCCCGAGCCTCGTTCACACACATTTCACAAGCAGATCATCGTCAAACTCCGTGAACGTCTCAGACTGTGCGTCCAAACAAAAGGTGAAGGTCTGGGTGCACATCTTTAAACTAAATAAAAAGAAACGTTATTTGTCTCATTACGTGCAGTTTCCCAAAACAGCTGGCAGCGCTGCCTCAAAGGGAAAATCTTTGGTGACTTCCTTCTTCAGTTATTGACCTTGAGGTCGAGGTCACCAAGATCCAAACTCGTCCAAGACTTGTCGTGACCCCATCAGTCTTTTACAGCTAAGGGGTAAAAACCCAAACATAATCCATCTATTCTCTTCTGCTCATTTGCGTCCAGGTCATGGGGGCAGAAGATTTTCATCAAGTTTAGCTTCAAAACCTTCTAAAGTAAATGTGGCGCCTCTTTACAGCCACAGACAACGAGTTACGACCATTTTCATCAAAATCATCTGAGCGGTGGCAGTACAGTGTCACTAGGATCATTGCACACATCGTTATCGGCGCTTAGAAACTGCACTGCCATATTATCAAAAACACCTCACACGGCATTGGTCCTCTGCTCAAAACCTGCACCAATGAAACTGGAGGAAGAACTGAGCAGCACACACTCAAAAAGACTAGTTTGAAACCTGGATGCTGACAGAGGTGATTTTAGCTTTTAGTAACAAAACAAAACATAAATGTCTCATAAACGAGTGATTATTGTTACTATGTGAATAAAATATCCAAGTATCACATTTGCACTGGCCACTATATTAGATACACCTTGTTAGTGCCAGACTGGACCTGTTTGCCTTAATTCTTCGTGGCAGAGGTTTAAAAGGCTGCTGGAAACATTCCTGTGGTTTCAGTGACACAACAGCATCACACAGTTAGTGTAAATCTCTGCTTCTACCACGTCCTAAAGGTCCTCTGTTGGATGTCTGGTGACTGTGGAGGCCAGTGAGTATAATAAACTGGTTCAAGAAACCAGTACTGGGAGCTGGGAGGAGTGACACCCAGTGTGGGCCTCTGCTGCTTCATGGTTTAATGTGTTGTGCATTCAGAGATGCTCTTCTGCATACCTTGGTTGGAATATGAGTGCTTATTTGGGTTACTGTTGCCTTCCTATCAGCATTCTGCTCTTAAATCTGACATAAACAAGGCGTTCTCTGCATAATCTGTCAGTTTTGAATTATTCTCTGTAAACCACAGAGATGGTTGTCGGGGAAAATCCCAGCAGATCAGCAGTCTCTGAACTACTCAGACGAACAACCACGCTACGCTCAAAGTCACTGAAATCACTGTTCTTCCTCATTCTGATGCTCAGACTGAACTTCAGCAGGTCGTCTTCACCATTTCTCCACACATAAACAGAGCTGCTTTCATGTGATTGGCTGATTAGACATTTGTGTTAACGAGCATTTAAATAGGTATACTTAATGAAGTGGCCAGTGAGCGTAAAGCTTTATTATCCACAGTGAATAAAGCTCAAACACTGTGGGAACTCCCACTAGGCTTTCTGTCGAGTTAAAGTGCAGCTCTCTGTTCAGAGACCTCTGATCTCACTCACTTGTACATGGCGGCCAGCGCGTTGATCTCCACCTCTCCCACCCATTGCTGGAAAACAGAGAAACTTTATGAGCTTTCATATTAAAATGACCCAGCATGTGAGAACAATAAGAGCGTGTGGTGTTTTTACCTGTGGATCCTGAAGCTTGCACAGGTAATCCTCAAAGTCACCTTCAATAAACTGCAAAACAAAAACAGCAGTGACTTTTTTAGGCAATTTTCTTCCTCAGTTCTCCCAAAAAAACAAAAACATGATGTGTGAGGCTGAAAACAAAGCCAAAATAAAACTGCCACTTCCTCTAAAGGATACGCGAGTCTGTCCCCACAGACTCCAGTGTTACCATGTTTAACTCTGCAGCAGAAATAAACATGTTTACAGCCGACCAGGCCACACAAAACCTAAAACACCGCAGTCAGAGGTAACTAAATTTAGACGTTTAGCCAATGACATGCTGTCGAAAGATATTTTTAACCTCCTAGGACCTGGCGTCCACGTATGTGGACATCACATTTTGGGTTACTTAGACCAAAATACTCAATTTTGCTCTACAAGGACCTGATATCCACTTACAAGGACATTATACTGCCACTGTCCTTTAAATGAATATCCTCATATGTGGATCTAATTTTTCTTAGAAACAAAAATTTGGTAAAAAGAAAAAAATCTGGTAATTCTTTGTTTTTACATTCATCGGGCCCCAATGTGCCCAAATATCAAAGAGAAATTAAAAATGCATGCTGTGGAAGAGTTCAGGTCTTAGGAGGTTAAAAATGAATTTAGAAAAAAAATAATCTATCAGACTGTACTCCCTCCATCAAAATATTTAAGAAGTAAGCAAGTGAAAAACAAACAAACACACACAAGAAATTATTTAAAAGTTTTTTGAAATGCGACCTAAAACATTTCCACTCCTCCAGGAAGTGAAGGCAGCAACATGACAGGTGGAGCTTTAATGCTGTTGATCCACCTCTATGCCCCATTCTGACAGCAGCTCACAGCTCCTGCTCTCCCAGCTGCCCGAAGGGCACCCTGGGAAATGTAGTAAAGCCCTGCAGCAGAGCGAGTTTATCACCACTATTAAAAACAACACCAGCAGCAGCTTTTGCTTTCATTTCCTCTCATGTGTCACTCAGGGAGTGAAAACCCGCAGAGTCACTCAACCGTGATCTGTGATTCACAGAAGAGTAAATCGACTCCTCGACAGCAGTTTGAGGGTCCAAAAACAGCCAAAAATCTGCTCAGACAGGAAACGTTTGAGCCTTTTCTGTCTCACATTTGGTGTGAACTCACTAACTTTCAGTTCTCAGCTGTTGAAAACAAAAACAAGACATTTAAAAAAAATAAAACATGGTAATTTATATTATTTATCGACGAAACGAGCAGGATCATGATTACGTGCAGCTCATGCATTAAAACAAGACCGAAAGCTCGAGCTTTCACACGTTTTCTGCTATAAATAGAGAAGTTGCGGCTTGTGTGAGAGGCAAAAGCAGCTTCTTTTCTCAATGTTAGGCCACAGGGTGACGTCACTAAAGAGAATAAAGCTAAACTAAACAAACAAAAGAAAAAAAATTTAAATTCTCTCATGTTTTTACTTGTCTTACTTTACAGACTTATGATTAACTCGACTGCAATTGAATAACAGCTCGGTCCGGCTCTTTAAGAGGAAACGCAAACCCTAAAAATACCAGAACTATTAACTTTGCTCAGCGTCGTCATATTTGTCAAAACAAACAGTGTCGGGAGGCTTCGGTACATCTGCTTATTGAGACTCGGGACACATTTGTTTTGATTTATTGTGAAGTCCCCGACAACCACCAGCCACACCATCGTGAAGATAAATTACAACTGAACGTCTCTGAATAGTGAAAAAAACATTAACTAAACTGAGATACATTAAAACAACCTCTCAGTTACAATAACAGGTTACAGATGGAGCATGCAAGCACATGCTTAGTGAAAATTACTTCTAAATATAAGTTCAAATTCTCAGTGCTGAGCAGACATGGTGTAAGCACCTGTTACATCTACATTTATTATTCATGTAATTTATTAGTTCGAAGCCTCAGAGCTCATAGAGGGGATGTTTACACCTCCCAGGATTAATTAACACACGGGTGGGACAAAACCGAGCCGCCTCGTTGAAGTATATATATAATGTTTAACAATCACCTTTGTTTGAATGCTGTGTGTAATCAGTACGAACGGGTCACCAGCTGAATTTATACTCACTGGCCACTTCATTAGGTACACCTGTCAGCCGGTCACATGACAGCAGCTCAGTGCATTCAGGCAAGTACACTGGTCAAGATGACCTGCTGAAGTTCAGTCTGAGCCCAGGGATTGGGAGGAAAGTGGATTCAAGTGACTTTGAACGCACATGGTTGTTGGTCTGAGTATTTTAGAAGCTGCTGATCTGCTGGGATTTTTCAGCACAACCATCTCTGTGGTTTCAAGGTCCGAAAAAAACAAAAACAAAAACGGAAAATATCCAGTGAGCGCAGGTCTCTTGGTAAAAATGCCTTGACGATGTCATGGACAGCCTGCTTCATGTTGATAGGAAGGCAACAGCAACTCAAATGACACCCTTAATACCAAGGCATGCAGAAGAGCATCTCTGTATGCAGAACACATGAAACCATACCGAGCACACACTCCTGTCAGCTAAGAGCAGGAAACTGAGGCTACAATTAACACAGGCTCGCCAAAAACGGTCACCAGAGGACTGGAGAAATATCACCTGATCTAATGCGAGTCTTGATTTCTGCTGCAACATTTAGATAGTGGGTTCAGAATATTTTCTCAACACTTTTCCTCCACAGATCTCAATCCAGTAGAGCACCTTTGTGATGCGGTTGAGCAGGAAATCAGCATGATGCCATCACATCAACATGAACCAAAATCTCTGAAGAATGTTTCCTGCTCCTTGTTGAATCTGTGCCACAAAGTATTAAAGCAGGTCTGACAGCAAAAGGGCATTCAACCCTGTACTACCAAATAAAGCAGCCGGTAAGTGTATACATGGGTATCTGTACAGATAAAGAACTGAAATTGTCCGTAATGTACAAAAATATACACAGTGTCCAACCTATATGATACACTGACTCTAAATTATGTGTTTTTTGATGTCTTTTCATAGGTATGAGTGCAGTTATTGAAGTTTTACCCTTTAACTTTCACTTCAGTTTCCAGGGCATTTGCATGTTTCAGTTTAGTTTGACTAGTTTCAGTGTTCGTTGTAGTCGTTTTTTATCATCATCGTGTGAACAGATTTAAGAAGTTCACAAAAGATATTACAATAAAAATAAAATATCTCACGACACATGGACATCCCAGTGTCAATGAACATCAACACCAAAGCCTCCCGATGACTACTGGGTTGACAAATTTGCTTAAACCAATAAACCTGTTTATTATTTCCCTTTAGTTACTTTTCAAACCACACAATATGGTTTCAGTTTCTTTTTAACACAAATTTCTCCTCCTTTCTATGAATTCTAATTCAGTAAATAAAAAATACTCCCTGGCAGCTATTTTTTACCACAAATCTACTTTCTAGTTCGAAAAGTAAAACCACTTTGCTCTCCCATGATGTTGTTTTATTTTGGTGACACTGTACATACCGCCTCATAGGTGTCTCTGTTCTGCTTCAGAAACTCCACACACTTCGCCCTGACTTTAGTATGAAGGCTTTGGCAATGCAGCACCTACACAGGAGGGGTCAAAGGTCAACAATAAACACAAACAGACATACTTAATATCAATATTCTCACATATATTGTGGAAATATTACATTTACAATTCGTTAAGAAGTTGTAAACAGCTGACCTTTGCAGTCAGAAGCCTAGCAGAGACACTTTTGGGTAAACAAGCCGGAAGTACGATTTAAAAAAGCCACAATTAAATTTTTTTTCATCATTTAAAGTTTATTCATTTGTAGATGTAGGTCTGAGTCTACGCTGAAACCAGAGTTTGTGGGCATAACTTTTGTTCGGCTAACATTAGGACATCGCAGCTGCACACCAAACAGACCAAGCCCAGCTTCTCACCTGTGCTAAGCTAAAAACTTACTTAACGTTAGCATTTTCTGTAGTTTTCCCGTTTTACCTGCTCGGCGACAGCCCGAAACAAACAGGACCCGTCTTTGGCTATCTTCTTCCGATGCAAACCGATCGATTTCAAGTAGTCATCCATTAATTTCTCGACACCCCTCTCGTCAATACTCTGCATGCTTCCGCCGCCGTCCATGCTAGCAGGGTGCTAGCCGCTAAAGATACCTGCGTGTTTTGGACGTCAAGCGGGGCGAAACTTTGCGCTAAAAGTTGTCAATATCGCCACCAAAAAGAGTTACATAACGACATCTACGAACTAAAATGAGTTAGCGTCAGCGGTGACAGCGTCCAGTTTCGTTTTCCTGGAAGCCCGGTTCATCCCGCTGAAAGAATCCCAGCTTCAGAAAGTGAAAGTCAACTTTAGCTCTCACGGTTAGCACGCAGGCTAACAGCTAACAACACGCCCCCTTCACTGTCAAACATGAACGGAACAGATTCTACAAAGTAAAAGCCTCCATTTGTCAATAACACTCGATTAATTCATCGCGAAATTAACTCTAAGACTCCTCGGTGTATAAAATTCGTTACTGAAGTGATGAATTTAATAATAGTACATTAGTACAACATAATAAAAAGTTCTGTTCGCAGGTTTTCTGACATAATTCATCATAAAACAAAGACTTCCACAGTTGCTATCAAAATAAAAGGATACAGGATACATTTATGGAAACATAAAAAATAATTTAAAAAAATAAACAAGCTCAATAAAAACCAATGAAATAAAATAAAAATGTATAATAATAATACGTTTAATTAAATCATTAAAATTTAAATATAAATAAAACCTCTTTTTTTATAAATTCAAAGGAAAACGGAGTCTTTCAGAGTCACATTTTATTTTATTACTGGACTAGGTTCAGCTTACTTATGTCTTAAGTACTTGAGTCATCTATCCTTAGGTGGATTCACTGACTGTATACAAAACGCAGAATTAAGAACACACAAAGGCTTCACATCGTCTTGCGTATAATTTAATTTAATTAAACTTTGAACAATGAGGTGATAAAATTACATAATTTCAAAAGAAAAACCACAAAAAAAAACCGTGAAGGTATTTTTAATGTAACTGAGACGGGTGGGTAAGATTATGACAACGTTTTAGAGCCTTTAATTGATTTATCGTTTTTACAAAGAAAGATATATAAGAGCCTACAATTATTTAGTTTCAAACTCTTCTTATGAAAAAAGAGAAAGCTATTAGCAATAAATAAATAAATAAATAAATAAACAAAATACTCATATGAAAATGAGTTATTTCATCCTGTTCGATTTAAATTAAAAGCTGTCTTTTCCTTTATAGAACCATTTTTGTTGTGTTGTATTCAGCTTTCTCCAGGGCGTTTTACAGTCATATTTTATCTATGTATTTATCTATGACCTGAACCAAATGTAAAATGTGCAGATCTCAGCAGCTCAGCATAGTCTTAATAAAGTATATAGAAATAGCAGGAAGCGCCTCGGTCACCTGACTCTTTCTTTTCTTTCTCTCAGTCCTTTTGAGTCCCCCTTTCACTTTTTCAACCGTCAGCGGTTCTTCATCTCTTCCTGTGACTCGCTGTGGTATCGATTTCACTCCAGTAGAGCGCTCGGAGAGAGGCTGCATGTTGACTGAACACAGTGTTCATGACTGTGCCTGCAGATCGCCATTCCAGCCCAAGGATGCCTCTTATCTAGGCATGCATTAATTTAAAAGCCATGTTAACAATAAGCATTCTAGTTAATGCTAGCCACAGTGCATGCTGTAGGTGCTCAACTCCACCAGCCAGCGGGGGACACCATATCTCCAACCTCTCAGGCTTAGCAGGAATCCCAGTTAGTACATTAAAGCCTTGCATATTTACTGTTAGGAGTCTATCCCAGCAACCACAGGGTGAGAGGCAGGATACAAACTGGACAAGTGTAACACAGAAATACAGACAACCATTCACACCATTTAAACTAAACCCACTAACTGCACGTCTTTGGACTGTGGGAAGAAGCCGGAGTACTTGGAGAGAACCCACGCAAACACGGGGAGAACATGCGAACTCCACGCGGAAAGGCCACGTGGTCAAGTGGAACTCACAACCTTCTTGCTGTGAGGCAAAAGTACTTCTGAAAATATACATTTTTGAAAAATGGTCCATCAACCCACTTTCAAGCCTTTTTGTTTCCAGTGAAATGTTCAAACTTTGTACCATAAAACTTTCGTGCAAAGAAAAAGGAAATGATCAAGCAGAAAACTAGCTGGTTTGAAACAAAAAAATGGGACCAGAGCCAAGACTTTACTACCAAAAACAGCAGTTCAGTTCACCTAACAGCCACTTGAGGCTGCCTGCAACAGCGAGTCACTCCCCACTGACTCCCATGTTAGGATGTGTAACTTTAGAGCAGAAATAAACATGTTTACAGCCTGACAGGAACAACAGTTTCGGTCTCCATAAATTCATAAAACTGTGCAGGTGATTCATGTTTTTTATCACTTCTAAAGCATTATGTGACTAATGTTCTGGCATGTCAGAAAGCACAGTCTTTATCTGTGACATGTCCTGAATGGCTTGATGTTATTTTCATGTGTTTTCTCGGCATATTTAAGTCAGACATTAATTTAGTTATAGGCAACTATAATAACCTTAGAATAAATGTAAAGTTACTTTTTGTATTTGCACAATTTAACTATATATTTCACCAGCAGGGTGCAGCATTTCACTGCTGTGCTGCTTTTTTAAACTTTAAAACTCATTTATATTAGACACAGACTTTATCAAAACCCCAAATCAGGAAATTTACTTTTTCCAGCAGCACAAGGGTCATGTTTACTCTTAAATGAATATAAAATGTCAGCAACTGAAAAAACAAAGCAAACAAACATCTGTAAGAATATCTGGGCCTCTAATGACGGCGACATATCCTGTAACTGTGAAGCCGGCTATTTATGATATTTAGTACGTTAAGTTAGCATTTTTTTTGCATTAGTAACATGTTTTTGTTGCATTTATGAAGTTATAGAAGTGAAATAAAGTAAATTGTTTACCTTTAATTAAATTTTAATTTTAAATATCAACACAACAATGGTGAAGTGAAGGAAAAATAAGCATCTGTTTGCATGTTCAAGCAGACAACTTATCCAGGCCAGAATCTGTGTCCACCTTCTTTGCTTTCACTTCACCTTTGACCCCTGATGTTGTGATACATGAAAGGTACAGCCTGGCTTCGGCTCAGCTTTAGCTGATATCTCTACAGCACCAACCACAGACACCTTGGAGTTATTTCTTCACATTCTGCTGACAGATTTAGTCAATTTAAAAGATCTCAAGTCATTTTAAACACATTCATTGGCACTAGGTGCCTTTAAATGATTATTCAGTGCTCGTATTCGTCCACGTGTGAACATTTTCTGCCTCTGTGAACGCGTGAGGCGTCCTTGGCAGCCTGACTGCACCTCTAACTGACACGCTTCTCCTCCTCCTCTTCTTCCTCGCCTCTAATGCCATTTACTCAAATCTAATAATGACCTCTGTGTGAGTGCGGCCTTCACGCTTCTCCGCGATTCGCCGAGGCCAGAGCGGCTCCCGGCCAATAGAAGGGCCGCCCGCTCGCCGCCACGGGGACTTACAACATGCCAGGTAACCGTGGCAACCGGCGAGGAGGGGACAGGACCTGTGGCGATTGACACTTATCCTCCCACTCGCCTGGTGAGTGTGGTGTGTGACCTTCATCCCTGGTTTCTGTGTAAAAACTCTGCCCCTCCCTCTCTGCACAGCCAATCTGACAGAGTTTATATTTCAGCTCCATGAAATTTTATTTATTTATTTTTAATTTGATCCAGGCGCCACGCTGAATCCCTGCCCCAGTTAACAGGTTCAGCTTCCTCTGTAACACGATCTTCCTCTCACGTGAGGGAGGAAGACACGAGGGCAAAGGCGAGTCAGATGAAATTAAGCTTCATTGATCATGGCAGCAAACAGTGACAGGATGCGGCAGAGAAAAAGGGAAAAAAAGAGGCAAAGATGAGCTCAGGGTGTCGTTGTATTTTACACTGCTTTGTGTGAAATTCAGCTGTTGAAGCAGACCCAACCTGAGTGATGAGGTCTCGACCCCGTTTCTGGGTCCAAGCGTCCCCTGATGAGGTTCCTGCCTTGTTGACGTGCTGCAGTGCTCTACAAACACATTATGTAACACTAGCGTAGGTGAATGTTCCTCACTGAGAAGCGCTGGTGAACGTGATCTTAGACCTGACCTCCCCTCAACAAGCTGCCGGATCAGAGCTCAATTATAAAGGACACCTGTTGGCCTTCATTCACTCACTAAAGGTTTCTGAGGGAAGAGAGCCCAACATGTATGCATGGCATCTGTAATGAGCGCTGGTCACATGCTCTAGATACCGAGGATAGATGTTTCACTGCTTCCTTTATTTCCTCCTGAGTCACTGCATCACTGTGGAGGTCAGTGAGTGCAGTGACTCATTGTCATGTTCGAGAAATCGCTTTTAAATGATTTGCCACATGGTGTGTTACCCTGCTGGCAGCAGCCATCAGAAGATGAGTACGCTATGGCCATAAAGGGATGGACACAGTCAGCAACAATACTCAGGTAGGCTGTGGTGTTTGAATGATGCTCAGTTTGTGCTAAGGAGCACACAGTGTATCCAGAAGATTGTTGATTATATTACATCACCAGTCTTAACCGTCGATACCAGACAGGATGGATCCATGATTTTATGGCGTTTAAATCAAATTATGGCCGAATGCTAAAGAGACTCAGACCAGGCAACACTTTTGCAGTTTTGTATTGTTCAATTTGAATTGTAGCCTCACTTTCCTGCTCTTATCTTGCAGGCACCTGGTGTGGTCTTCTGCTGCTGTATCCCGTCTGCTTCATGTTTGACATGTTGTGCCCAAAGCGACTTCCACCGTGATTCTACTATAAAAACATGAACAGACACAAATGGAGACTATAGTCCAGACTGCTCATTACTGACTCTGTTGAAGTTCAGGCTCTGGCTGCTGGACTGAAGTCTGCATGCACTAAGGTTTGTCATCACTCTGGGTTGCTTGCTGACTTTGTGTTAGCATGCTGTCTGTGCTGATGTTTGCAAAGAGCCAAAGTTGTGTTAGCAGCATAATGTGATTGTTTGTGTCCTGGGTGCAGTTTGCACTTCACCATTGTGCTCTCGTTCTTTCGTGCAATAAAAATAAAGGTAATGTCGATGTCTCTGCTGCAGACCGGCCCACTATTTTCCTCCTCCCACACATGAACTGAAATCACCTCAATGTAGCTCAAGTTTGCAGTTGTTTTTTCTTTCCGTCCACCCAACCTTCAGATAATTGAAAAACCTTAACGCAAGTAACATCATCACTGCCAACATATTATTGAATTTTGTGCAGTAATACACCACATTACTGAAAAATGTAGTGTGATTACAGTAGCCACTGTTCTTCTGCATACCTTAGTTGTAATGAGTGATTCTTTGACTTACTGTTGCCTTCAAATCAGCTCAAAGCAGTCTGACCCTTCACCCCTGATGTCTGACATCAACAAGACATTTTCATGCAGAAAACTGAGGCTCACTGGATATTTTCTCTTTTCCATCTGTAAACCGTAGTTTAGAGATGGGCGTGAAGGAAAATCCCAGCAGATCGGCGGTTTGTAAAATAGTCCTAGTAAAGTGTCTGGCAAGTGTATATTACTCTTTTCAAACTTTGTCTTGTTGTGACCAGGACAATCACTTTTGTGAATTTAATTGTTTCCTAAAGATAAATGGCACGGTGAGTGCTTCCACCAGGTCATAAAAATAATTAAAACAGTGGAAAATATAACAAAAACATCATGTGCAATGAAATTTGGCTCTGAGCATAAAGAAGTCATTGTGTGCCCAGACAATCTACAGGAAAGTCTTAATTTTTAAGCAAAATGTTATGTTTTATGAATAAAATAAGCTTTTGTTGTCATAACTAATAAAAATCACGGATAAGATTTTGATTGAATCCTGTAATCTGCAAGACATTTCACCCACTGTGAGGCCGCTGTGGCTATGCTATTATCAAAGTAGGAACAGATAGAAGGGACAATCACCAAATAATCATAGTGGGCATTATTCTTCCTTTTAAAATAATTTTTAAGCTAGCTTAGGTTGTGTTGTGCGTTTGGTAATACAACTTCGGGTTTTTACTGTCTTCAAACTAAAGCCGTTCCCTGCCTCAGGAAAGAAAGATGCTCTTCGGCTTTAAACCTTAATAAATAATACTCACTGAAAAAACATATTTTCGACACTTTATTGAGCAGCTGTCCCTGCCCCATACCAGTCGTGGATCAGCTGTTAGTACTGGATAATTTAACAAAAACTGGATCCCCGGGACTGAATCTGCAGAGTAATTATTTGGCTGTGGGTTTCGACTTTTCCTTCGGCGAAGTTACAAAATAAACCAACACTTAAAGTGTTTTTGCAAAAGGCTAAAGTGTTCTAAACTGACTTTTCTTCTGTCTACATATAGTGCAACCTTAAATTAAGACATTTCAGACTCCCAGGAGCCCCATGTAGTCATGTAAACACAAATACATTATCAATATACAACACAAATATTAGAAGTATCATCACTGTCCTCCAGAAACCACGAATAACCCCAAAAATCCTCCAATATTGAAGTGGAAGCAGCAGACTGAAGGATGGTAACTTTAAATAATTCATGCAACCAGTCAAATAAAATAAAGTGTTCTCATCAAATGTGAGCTTTCTGCAGTAATACAATACCAAAGTCAGACACAACAAGTGAAGATGGTCTCTCAGAAAATATAGACTTTACGATTAGAATGGCTAAGACAATAAGCAACAGATTATAAAAAGTATACTTCGGCTGCAGCATCTGGTTTAAAATGCTTTCACTCACAGTTGTAGATGAACTCAGTAAAACACCAATGATTTAAACCTTGAGTGGTTCTCTGAATTGGTCTGTTGGAAATATCTCCACATTTGTTGGCTGGATGGATTTACATGGAGCATTAAAGACTTGACACAAACATCCTGATGACTTTAACCAAATTCAGGATAAAATAATAATAAAGCTATAACATTTTCATCAGCTCAGCTAGATGCTCTGTTTAATGCTAAATGGAAAATGTTAGCATGTTTACGCAATAAGCTGAGGACTGATAGCCTTGCTGTGTGTTTTTTTTTGCTTTCATTAGCCAGTGTTAGCATGCTAATACCCTACGGTAATGTCCCATTCCAGTTAATTCAGAACTCTGGAGTGAAGTTATTCCAGAGTTAGTCTATTTCAGTACTAAAGTCAGAAAAGCACGACAAACAGGATTTGTTTTGTTTCTTAGCAAAGCAGTCATTCATGTCATCACTAGGAACACAGCATAATGTTTGGTTTTTGTGCTTAAAAACGTAGCTGCAGCACGTTCACGGACAGAGCGTTCTCACTGCTCTGTATATGGCTTATTTAGCAAGTCAGTAGTGGCACAGATAGAAAGTATTACATTTTCACTACTTTTTCCATTCACTGCCACCATTTTCGATTTTTATATAGGGGTTTCTCCCACTTTATCAGTTGGAACTCCAGGTTCAGGGGGTGTTTGAGACAACGATTCCAACAGGGAATTCTGAAAGTTCGACTTAATCTGGAATGCACCATAATTATATTCTCATAACTTCAGTGGAAATGATCATGTTAGCACCCTAAAGTAATGCAGTTTCAAACCCCCTCAGGAATATTGCGTGTGAATAGTACTAACTTCGAAAGTTTAAGATACTAACATGCTACAGACATCCCTTTGAGCCTATACAAAACTGAAAGGTTAGCACGTAACACACAAAACTAAAGACATTCTCAATCCCAGTAACATCAATAGCTTATTTTTATGGTGAATCCATTTAACTCAGAAGTCGGTTGTCAATGCTGGGAGTGATGTCACTCCTCATTTGAATGTATTCCAGTACTAAAGTCAGAAAAGCAAGGGATACCAGGATTAGTTTTGCTTCTAAGCAAAGTAGAGCCATTCGTGCATCACTATTAACACAGTGCAACGCTTGTGTTTTTGCACTTAAAACGCCCCTGCAACACATTTGAGGCTAGAGTCAGGCACAGATACACAACACTGGTAGCACGAATGAAAGTTTTACGAAGCGATTCGGAGCCACCATTTGGGATTGAGAAGTCGGGTTGGTGGGGCTGGTCTCACTTTCTATTGGAAATCCAACTTGAGAGGGGGGTCCAATTCCAACTGGGAACTTGGAAATTCCAACTTCAACTGGAATGCATCATTCGTGCAAATTAGCATGATAAACTGATAATATCCCATCAGCCTAAGTGGTGATTTCTTTTAGTGCAAATTAGCAAAGGTTAGCATGTTCACATGCCACAGCAAGATATGGCCAACATTATCAATGCTAAAAATCAGCACAAGGCATTCCCATCAGCCTCACTTGTATATTGTGTTTAGTGCTAAACAGCATGTTAAACTAACACCCTTCTCATCAATTTAAGCAGCATTGTTTGTTGTGATAAATTGCAAATATTAGCGCAGTAACAATCTAAATTAAAGACATATATATATATATATAACTCTTAGCTGAACTGCATTTTTTTAGTGTTAAATCGCCATCATTACCATGCTAAAAAGCTAGACTAAAGACATTTATACCAAGTAAAAAAGTTCGAAGTCTCAGCAGCAATAAGCAAATAATACAACAATAAAACTAAAGACATTTCCATTAGCCTCAGCGGTTAATTAGCAAAAATTAACATATAAGCATACCGAACTAAGGACATTCTCAGTAGTAGCAGTAGCTTGTTCTCACTGCCGATAATTAGCAAAAGTTAGCATGTTCACATAACAAAATAAGAACATAGAATACGATTAGCATCATACCTGCTATATTAGCATTGTACTGTGGAACAGTTAGCATGCTGAACTCAAAGTAAACAGTTAAGTAAACCTTCATATAGATATTGCCTTAAAGAGCTGCTAGAAATGCTGTCAACTCTTATTTTCTTCCTTTAATCATGTTTTTTTGAAGTCCGCTGCTTTTTTAAAGAAAATGTCTAAAAAACACGTTGTGTTTTAAAAGAAAAACAAACTATCTCACCCTCAACATTATCTCATCATCTCAATAAATGACCCTTACTTCACAGCATCTCGTGTTTCTGATTAGAACAATTTATAATAAAATTCGACTTTTTAAGTTCAAGGTTTCTGGAGGACAAGAGAGACAGGCAATAAATATGTCACACGGTTAAATAGCTAAGAGTTCAGTGATTATATGACGGGCTAAAGCAGGCAGGAATGCAGCAAAAATCACGAGCATGATGCAAAAGTTGAATAAATTCAAAAACGTTCCTTATCGGTGTGTTTTCAGTGCTGTTTGACATTCTCATACATAGTGCTGAATGACAGTACCTTGGATACATTACAGAGCTTTACATCCATCGCTTTAAGAGTCCAGAGGATGGATAGAAGAGAAAAGGAAGAAGAGGAAGAGGAGAAATTAGAAGAGAAGGAGACGAAGAGAGGAGGACCAAAAGCAGGGAGGCTTTACAAAGAAGTTGTCAGGCCGAGGTAACCAAGAAAAGAGTGTTTGGTAGAGAAAGATGAAGAGGAGGAGGAGGAAGATGAAGGAGAGCGCTGTTTCAGAGAGATGAGGGTCGTGATCGGGAGGAGAGGAGACAAATCCCTCCATCCAGCACGGTCGGACAGCGATGGATGAAGAAGAAGAGGAGGAACAGAGGAGGAGGATGCAGCAGTGTGAGCGCTTGGCGGTGTGTGCAGCCGCTGGACGTGCTTGTTCGAGCGCTGATTGTCTGCATGCACGTATGACCGGTGCGTATGCACGTCGGCGGGTGCGTCCGTCGCGCCCCCGTTGAAGAAGTGCGCAGCGTGTTTGACCTTGCAGTGCAGGCGCAGACTGTCCCGCCGCTTGGCGCTGTAGGGGCAGAGGTCACAGGTGAACGGTCGCTCCCCCGTGTGCACGCGCACGTGTTCCACCAGCTTGTTGGCTGTCCGGGTCAGGTGGCCACACCGGTCGCAGCGGTACTGGTTGCCCTGGCGATGACCCTGGAAGTGAACCAGCAGCTCCTGTTGCCCTGGAAACGACCTCTGGCAGATGCGGCAGCGATGCTCTGAGGTGCTTGTCTCCGGCTGGGTTGCCGTGGCAACTGAACGAGCACCGCTGCTGGAGGTGGAGGCTGTGGCAGGAAGGGTAACAGGGCATCTGGGAGTCAGGAAAGGTAGAGGGAGGAGTAAATGACCCACACATTACACGAGGATGCTGACAGAAAGCACGCTCACCTGCATCTAACATCAACATGTAACATCAACAAATTCGTTTTAAATCCATTCAATGAAGAATTTAAATGTACCAATAAAAGCTCTACCTCTATCTTACTGTTTAGTTCAGTTTACTTCTTCATATCAGTAACTGAGCAAAGATTTAGAAACTGATTCTGTTCAGCCTCGACTTTCACCTCAAAGGTTTTTTATGTTTAAAGTACGTTTTATTAGATGTTTCCACTTATTTAATAAGTCATACACAGAAAACCTTTTGTAAGGTCGTATTAACGCCTCAAAGGAGCACTGCAGACATGATTATTTTTACTATTGATATGATAGATTTTTGTAAAAAGACTGTCCAAAAGATAAAATATCATCATCGTCATTTGTCATATAAGGTTTGGGGTTGTTTCGCTTAAAAACAAATCAAAAATCTAAGTAAATTTAAATTTAACGATGTAATCATGTGCTGACACGTGGATGTGTGGTCACGTATCCGGGGGGGAGGGGGGTCGTTAGGGATCCTTACACCTACCTCACTTCGCCCTGAATGTGCGTGCAGACGTGAGCCCTCATCTCTGCCTCCTGATTGGTCGAGTGGTCGCACACGCAGCAGTGCAGCGAGAAGGATCTGTGCTCCCATTGGCGGTGTTCGGTCATGTGACTCTGGAAAAGGGCCTGTCCTTCGGTCTCAAAACCGCACACGTGACACCTGGAAGGCAAGGACACGACAAAAGCTTGTAACACATAAATGACGGTAACAGATATTTGTCTATGAATCTCCAAGCGGTCACAGCGGGACTCACTGTGGGAGAGGACAGCAACCAATCAGGTGCAGGTTTTTCTAGCGTGCGCTTGGCTGGTTTTTACAGTTGGTTTTAACTTGTTATTATTTTGTTGTAATTATGCTTGAAATGCACTTTTGTTTTCAAATATATATGTATTATTATTAGTTTATTTATTTTTGTATTTTATTATATTTTTGTATTTTTATTCTATCTTTAATCTCAAGCACTTTGTTCAGCTGTTGTTTAAAGTGTTTTATGGATAAAGCTGGTTTGGATTTATATACACGCTTCAGATCTGAGAGGGTTTAAGAATGAGACATAACACCAGGAAATGATTTCATTTCTCACTTTTAGCATGAAGAGAAGGTGAAATACATGACAGCTGGAGATAATCAGATCATAGTGAACCTCGTTTATGTAACAATGAGTGATTAGCTTGATTAGAGGGCACAGGTAGACAAACATCAGGTGAACAGTACTAACAGTTTCATGGTTCTTCAATTCCTTAAACAAACTCACAGAATGGAGCCACAAAAAACGCTTTCACTACAAGCAGCGACAACTTCTGCTTGACCTTGTTCGTTTTTCCATGTCCTCTTAAAACTCACCTCTTCATCAGTGTTTCAGTGTTTCATGTGTGGCATTAGTTCTGGGAGACAGGTGCTCCTGGTTTTGGAAGTTTTATGATGGTTCTCTATGAGAGAGGCGCTCAAAACCACAAGTCCCGTCACGAAAAGAGTAACGGGAGGACAAAACTCTCCAGGCTGACACCTCACAGTGTCTTTAATGTGGAAAGCTGAGAGAAAAACTACATTTCTCATTAAACGTAAACTGCAACTGTGAAAAAATGACCATAAAAACCCCATCGAGGATGTCAAAGTGCTGATTGAGTCCACCGCCATGAAGCATGGCTGAGAGCTGGCGCTCAAAAATAGGCTCGGGTTTAACTCTGTCAGATGCACTGTAGTTTTGTAAAACGATGCAATAAATCGCTCCCAAAAGTGGCAGCACGCTAATCCTGATCGAGTCACACATCCTGATGTAAGAGTGGAGCCCGAAACACAGATAAAAATCACAACAGAAGAAGAAGGAGCGGGACGCCGAGTACAATAGCATTCAATGCCTTTCACACTCTCAGTAACGGCTTTGTTAGTTTATAATGAAGCCATTTTTTATATTAAAAGCTTCTTTTTGAGTTGCTAGTGTGAGTGTAAGGGTTATGTTGTAGATGAAGTCAGCCCACTCTCACCAAAAACACTTTTATGGGCAATTTTTTATTTGAATTTGGATTTCTTCAAATTGCAATTTTATTTTTAAAGTGCCAAATCACAACACTTCAAAAACAGATGCCTTATATTGTGAAGTAAAGGCCCTAGAATAATACAAAAGGACTCAATTAGTTTACCACACTATACATAGTATATGTGTTAGCCTGCTTACAGTATCCAGAGCGTACTTCATTCTTGCCTCACTTTCTGATCAAAGCCTTATTGCACACCACCAACACGTACACTCACTAAGAAGTATTATACACTTGAGTTCCTGCAGATCACAGACACACTCCATTTTAATCCACCAAAATTTTCTCCATGAAAATTGCCTCCAGGATGCCAAGGTTGTGTCTCCAAAATCGAGCCGAGCATGGATAAAAACTTTTTTAAAAATCCAGAGCTTTGAAATCTTTGTACTAATTTCTTCCTGCTAATGAAAAAAAAAAATCTCCCACCGGTTTGTTAAACATCTCCAGAAAGTTAATGTTCAAAGACGCCTTCGCTGGCAGAATACACTGAGATGGAGAATCCGGCAGAGCTGCAGCTATGCAGGAAGATAAGCGGGGACTTCAGTCTCTCCAGAAGGCCAGAAAACAACAGCTCGAAAGCTTTACTGCTGGATAAAATGCTGCAACATTTAGGATCACCGTTCACAGAGCTATAAACAAGAGTGAGTCCCAAAACAGGCTGAAACTCAAAGATTAGAGATAGTGCACTTCCTCGCTGACTCTATATAGCTATCTTAAAGGGGGTCCTCACAGATATAGGAGTAAAGGTGTACGTGTGTGTGTGTGTGTGTGTGTGTACTTGTTTAAGCATCTTTGTGAAGACCAAAACATGCCACTGTACCTGTGGGGACCAAGCGCCCGTCCTCACAAATTTGAAGGCATTTTTGAGGCTCAAAAATGTGGTTTTAGAGTGAGGTTACAATAAGGGTATGGTTAGAGTAAGGGGCTAGGTAAAGCATTATGTCAATTCAATGTCCTCACTAAGATGTGAAAACATGTGTGTGTGTGTGTGTGTTACCTGAAAAAGTAAGAGCAACCTGTGGTTTGGTGTCTGCTGAGGCTGGTTTGGGTTTCTGTGAGGAAGAAGAAGAGCATTCGTTTATTATTCTGCGTGATTTTTGCTTTTTACACACAGCAGAACTTCTTAATGATGAGCCCCTCTGGAAGCTATTATTGCTAAACCTCTGTGTGACTGTAGCCTCTGTCAGCGCACTTCACCACCATCTTTATTATTATAGACCCAAAGGGCACTCCAGTAGCAGCATGCATCCATAACGCAGACAAAGGCAGCATGCAGTCATTAAAAAGTAATAATAATAGCAATAATAATAATAATGATACAGAGACAATGCAGGCAAACTGAACACACACATTCAGTGAGAGTGTTTGCTGAGAGCTGTCAGTGGAGGAGATCAAAAGTGTTTGTGGTGGCTAAGAGCCAGCCAGGCAGAACACAGAGGGTGATAATCAGATCCAAATAAAGTCACGAGCTCAGACTTCATTTTTGGTCGAGCACCTTAAAAAGTTGAAGTTTTAAACTTTTGTTATGACGGTCATAAAAAAACATTTAAAAACAAAAAACCCTCAGAGGTTGCAGTTCCTCAAATGGCCACTTGAGGCTGCCTCTAGACGTGAGTAACTTCTCATAGATTTGTGTTAGAAACAAACACGTTTATTGCATCAAAATTTGCTTCTTATTAAGGCTTAAAGTTAAATACCTGACCTGATGCAAGCAGCTAGCTGTTTGCAATGACTTGTGGTTTTTATACATTGTTAGCCAATGAGCACACACTTTAAGCGCTATATAAGAATCGGTCCATTTAATGGTTTTATAATCTTGCATTTTGGTGTTACAGGATTTACCAAAAAACCTCTGCTATTCTTCTATTAAACACAACCCAAAATAAGAGAAAAGCGTTGACACAGGTCAGATCGGAGAACCAGTTTTGAAACCACTGCTGGCCTTCAGGCACAATGCAGGTTTATTTTTCCAACCACAGAGCTACGTCTATCTCTTAAACAGTCTCTGCTTCACCCCCACTAACCTTAATAACTGAACTGGATTCTGATTTCTAAATGGACTTATCTGACAAAGAATACGGCCGGCTCTGTGGTTACTTGTAACCCATGGTTACATTTTTTATGAAACTCTAGGTTTTTTTGTCTGGATTTTAGCACTAACGAGCAGGGAATATGAATCGAGCTCTTGGTGACCCCAAAACGCCAAACTCAAGGCTTCAAAACAGGTCCACAAAGCAGCATGTGACAGAATTAGCTATGATGATACTTAAAATCCAGTCTGTCTAACAGAGAAACCATGAACAGGTGGTCTACAAAAGACTTTCTCAGTGGTTTATAGCTTACTCCAATCGATGGAGCTACCTTCATACTTAAGACTAGTGCCACAGCTCCACGTCTCAGTCATTAGAAGTTTGAAGTTGTTACAGACTATTAGATAAACTTTATCATTCTCAACCTCTGAAGTAGAAATTCAGGTAAACAGGTTTTTGCACAAAACAGTGTTTTACATCTGGACTCAAGATTTCAAATAAAATGAAAATAAAAATCTGTTACTAATAATACTGATGCACAAATAAAAGCATGAACACTTTTTATCCTGATATGTAACCAAACGCTATAACCAACCAATAATATTCACTTAGTCTGTCGGAAACACTGAATAAGTGCGTATCAAACGCATGCAAATGTTTCCTCTTGTTTCATTAATCTTTAATAGAAACAACAGTGACCATCACTTAAAAGTGACACTTTATATTTGGAAGCTTTGTTTTTAGAGTCATGCCTCATACTCTCCGACTAGGGAGGGATTTAGAGTCAGACTAATGCATTAAAAATTCATAACATCACCGGGCTTATCTGTAAATGCTGAAGTGCGCGCTGTTAAAAAGGCAGCTGGAGGTTTGGGAGCTCGCATCCTTGTACCTGACATCCTTCCTGCTGTGCCAGTGTTCATTGTAAATTTAGCTGGATCACTATTTCAGCCGTCAGCTCCTTTAATCCTTCCACTCTGACTGACAGTGTCAGTTTCCATCACTGCAAATTACCCCGAGACTGGCAGGCAAACACATCAATGACAACAACCCATAACGCCGTGACTCATTAATAAAGAAAAGAAAAACACCTCCAGGAGACGGTTAATAATCAAGGCGCTACACCTCCTCCAGCTGCAGAGCATCCTCGCAGAGTTCCTGTATTTTCATGTAGACACTGTGACACTCATGTAAATCTTAACCTGTGTGTGCAAACCAGGTTATTATGTCAGTGTGATTAATTAACAGAAAACTACAAAATAAAGTGTCAAAAAACATGGAATTCTTAAATGATGTCATTAAACTTGTTGTAGTGCCTTAAATTTACCAGGTAGTTGCAGTGTGCAACTTAACCAAGCTGTGTTTTTAGTAGCTAAGCCTGACCAAGATACAAGCTTTCAATTTTCTACATCAGCTCTCCAAATAAAGAGACTTTACAGCCATGCACTATATCATGGGTGGGCAACTCCAGGCCTCGAGGGCCGGTATCCTGCAGGTTTTAGATCTCACCTGAATCAAATGATTAGTTCATTACCAGGCCTCTGGAGAACGTCAAAACATGTTCAGGAGGTCATTTAGCCATTTAAATCAGCTGTGTTGGATCAAGGACACATCTAAAACCTGGACTTTGCCCACCGCTGCACTATATAAAAGCAGCTGGGCTGTGGTTACATTCAGGATCTTTAGCAGAGGTCATCTAACTCCTGGAAACTTCACCTAGACTAAAGCCTTGATCATAATTTCTCTATCCCTAAGTCCGCTAAGGGACTGCAGTTCCACTGGACTCATCTGTGGATAATTTGCATTACAATCCACCAACTCTGCCAGCAGCCTTCAAGCCGCTCTGGCGTGTCTCCTGGTTTTTGTGTCTGCGTCAGGAGCGGGGTATAATCGAGGTTCAAACTTTTCTCGGGCCTCTACAAATAGTGAGACCTTGATAGCGGAGAGGCTAACCCCCAAAAATCGATTACACTGTGCACACAAACGTAAAACTCTGTTTCTTCACAGCTCTAAAAGTAAGACTGTTTCGCCTTGTGTCTGATCCCTCTCCCAGCTGAGCCTGCAGAAGTCATCTGCAGCATTTAGAAGCCTGAATGGTATGCATGTGCTGCAGTGCGTGGATACAAATGTCTGGGCTTGCTGTTAAACGCTGTTGGAAATGAAAAGTGAAAAATTGAAAGTCCATTACCAAGTGGAGGAGTTTGGGAGCTGATCACTGCCGGGGAAGAGCGGCGCTGGTCGTCGTTACCCTTCAAAACAGGACTACACAGAGAGCAACACGCACAGATACAGGATACCATCATGACTGAGGTCAGAGGTCAAAATATGCCGCTGATAGATGGAAGTGTGCACTTACCTGCTTCTGATGGGTGGAGTCATCCTGTCCACCAGCTGACTGTTGGACTTACTGACCCTCTCTGCAGACAAGCGACAGAAAAAGAAGCGCATTCGAGTGCAAACCGAAAAAAATGATGCAACCTGTGTGTTTGGCTAAAACCCAAACAGTGGACAATGTGCACTTTTCTCTCTGCAGCTACCTCCACCTCCGAGGCTGCATGTCTCTGATACGCACGGTTTCTTATCTGTTGTTTCCTAAAGTCTCGGTCTGCTCTCTCTGCACCAGCCCGTCGGCTCACACAGCTGCTTCTTCCTGTTTAAAGGAAGTCAGCTGATTCCATGTGCTCGCTTACAGGCAATCACTGGGGTTTTCACTATGTTACTAGTGAAAAAACCTCCAAAGACCTGCACAAAACTGAGCATATAAATATTTTCAAGGGAAAAAAAAAGAATATCTCTGAAATTCAACTCACAAATATTCAAGAAAGATTGTGTTTTTCCGTTTATTTGTTTTTTTGACAGCTTTATGTATTCTTAGATTTGATGTTTCGGCATCAAGGAGCAACTCTGACCAGTAAAAACACGACAATCAACTTTAGATTTAATCAAGATTAATATTAAAGCTTGCATGGTTACCTGACAGTTGGTGCAGCAGTGTGGACGCCAGGTTCACTGACATGTCCTGCCACAGCACTGCTCTGAGGCACTGGTCAGCCATCTTGGCTCCAGAGGTAAATTGGTCTTCCATCTTGGCTCCAAAGAAGAGCTGCTCCTCCATCTTCACCCCGGAGAAAACCTGGTTCTCCATCTTGGCCCCTGAAGCAAACTTGTCCTCCGTTTTGACTCCAGAGAGAAACTTGTTGGTCACCTTGACTCCAGAGAAAGGCCGCTCGGCAAACTTTGCTTTAAAGAGAAGCTGGTCCTCCGTCTTGGCTCCAGTTAGAAGGTGGTCCGACATCTTAGTTCCAGAGACATCCTCCATGTTCACTTGAAAGTGAAACTGTTTGGCTCCAGAGACTGCACTGTCTGCCATTGCAGAGACAGGCGGGCATCCTTCAGCACAGAACTTGCCTTCTACTTTAAGGCCAAAGAGACACCGGTCTGCCATTTTGGCTCTGGGGTGCAACTCCTCAGCCACCTTGTTCCCAGTGAGGCCCCGATCTTCTGTTTTAACACTGAAGATGTGATGATTGACCATTTTCGGGGCAGGCAGAGCAACGTCTTCTGTTACTATTTGACTCTGGGCTACTGTGTCGACTTCCATTGGCTCTTCTTCTTCTTTGAGTCTCACCACATGGCCATTCACTTCCTGACGCTCTGTGATTGGGAAGAAATAATAATAAATGATTAGAAGCAGTGTGTGAAAGTTCATTCAAAGCTAGAGATGGTAACATGTTTTTGACCTCAACCAACAAAAACCCAAAACAAAACAGACAGTCCAGCTGGACTCTGGTACCTGAGTTCTGGTTCCAAGCTATAGAACCTCTACTTTGTGTTGTTCACCAATACAAGTGAGTAAGACGTCCACACCAGTAGGCTTATAACTGGGAGCGCAGGGCTGGAATCCAGCGCAAAGCCAACAGTCAGAAATGACTTACAGTACTGTGCAAAAGTCTTGAACCACCACTCTTTTCTCTCTATATTAGCCTCAAAGTCAGACTTTCTTATATTTTGTGGTGCTGAACAGTAGTTTTCCAGGCTGTTGGAAGGTCTTTCAAAGTGTTTCTTTGTACACTGCCACTTAATGCAGACCCGTGAATCATTCAAGCATAAAAAGGCACCTAACTCAAGGGATGAACCAGTGTTGTGGCTATACAAAACAGACAACGTGGCAAATAACCATTTTTAATCAGTGTCTTTAGGCACTTTGCTACCAGCAGCCTGTTGCAAGAACACACAATTATTTGTTCCTATTTTTTAGCTGAATCTATAAAAAATATTAAGAAATAACACAGTTTGACAGGCGTAACATAGCACTTTTGCACTAACAAGATCATACCCAAAGATTTTTTAGCTAAAACCTTGGCATGTCTAGATATGGTGTGCAGTGTATCCTTAAACAAATCTGGGAAATCGGGAAAAGTGGAGGACAAAAAAAGAAATGGCAGGCTTATCTGAAAGTCATGTCCTTAAGAAACAGCAAAGGCCTGACACAGGAGTCGAGAGATGCACTTGGACCTTCAGTTGATTGATCTACTGTTCACTGAAGCCCCATCAGAAATTGTGTGAGTGTTAGCGTGGCTCTCAAGAAGAAATTCTTGAGAAACAGTGAGAAAAGCTGGGGCATGCCAAACTACATAAGAACTGCACTAAAAATTAGTGGCACTGTATGTAATGAGATAATTCATCAAAATTTAGCAGCTTCATTTGTCAGCAACAATCCCAAAACACTTCCAATGCACTCAAAGTATAGTTGGATATAAAAACACAAAATGGAACATTATCAGTCATGGATTGGCCTCCTCAGAGCTCAGACCAGAAGAAAACAGAACAAAAAGAAGAAAGATCCAAAGGAGAGCTTTGAATGTCCTGGAGAACTATTCCTGAAGACTACTTCAAGAAATGACAAGAAAGGTGCCTAAAAGAATAACTGTGGTCGTTCCAAAGTTCTTGGAACTGTACAAACTCTGTTATTGCCTTATATACTGTATGCTGTGTATGTTTGCACATGTTCCAGTAAATCACTGCATCCATTTCCCTACATAACATGAAAAAATAAGGACTGGCTCAAGACTTTTACACAGTGCTGTATCTCTCATCACAGTTTTGGCGAACTCGTACCTGCTAGCTTCCGGAGCAGATCTGAAGCTAGCGTGTCCGTAGCGGTATTGCCGTCAGGCGTGTGCGTGAGGGACGGTGGCTCGGGACTCGCCCCGGGGCTGTCCGGTGAGAGAGCGACGCCTGGCTCATCCTGCTGCTCCGCTTCCTCTCGGCTCCCAGGATGCATCTGGGCCTTCTGGGTGGCCTCTGGAGACAGAGAGTGATTTGATTCAAGTTAACTGTAAACAGATTACTGCAGAGGTCAAATTGCAGCCTGATAACCGCACTCAAGCCTTCATGAGAGCGCACAGGCTCCTGCAACACATGCCCAAAGTACGCGGACACCTACACGCTCACGTCTCTTCATTTCCAGCAGATAAAACCTGCAGCAGGAATTTACTGCAATGGGAGTTAAACTCAGAGTAATAGTATTCAACCGGAGAGTGACATATCACCCTGTTTTAAAGACCTGATATTGGATGCTTGTTTTTTTATTGATTTAAAAAATCTTGTACTTCATGTTCTTGCAGCCGCCCACTTGCTTCAGATCTGTGAATGACGATGGTCTCTGAGGTCTTCTGGGCTTTCAGTTGCTCCAAAGAGCAGGAAAAAAACCTGAGGTGAAGCAGCTTCTGGTGTTTACTCCTCAGTCTGCCTGAGGAGAGCCGTGAAAGAACCTTAAAACCTGCCTGTTTATTCTGCTTATGTTGCCTTTTACTGATTTTATTTGTCTTTATTAATGTCATTATCGTTATTCTTTTTCCACCATTTTCATTTCCCGGGTGCCTTGGCATAGGCTTTTAGCCATCACTCCTTGGATGTTGAATGCTACCGTTCTGTCAAGGCCAAAATGTGTTCCTTTGCCTCACAGCTGTTTTATTTTTTTGTATTAAATAAAATGAACGCAAAATCATCTTCATTATTTTAATTCTATGATTTCATAAGTGCAACATAACATGCTGTTATTGTATTAAAAAGGCAAAGTTAAAGTAGCAAATAATCGTAAAAAGTCTGCAGGGTACTCACATGTGGTAAAAGAATATAATTATTTGCACCTATTAGTGATGCTGATGGGCTAATTTATACCTTACAGGCTGTGCCACCACTGTTATAAGGCTCAGATGTGTTCTGCGGCTGAATACGTATTTTCTTTTAGGTCAAAAATTCCTTTTTAATAATAACATTTTCTGATCTCTGAAGTGGCTCTACATCAGTATGCTCTGATTGGTGTGTTTGAGTATGCACCAATAGCTTTAGTAGACCTTGAAAACTCAGGGTGAGACAGCCTCGTCCTTTTTATTTTTCATGTTAAACCTGAGCTGACTGGAAGATAGTGAAAATGCATTCAGTCTTAGGTGGAGGCACAGTATACCGCTTTGTACTGAAAATTACTGAAACATCCTGTGGAATAACCCATGTATTATAGCCATAATTACATGTGTTTCATGGATGTGGAGAAGGCATCCAACCGTGGGCCTCATTACTTCCCGTAGGGGGTGTTTCAGGAGTATGGGATATCACGTGTTGTTGTTGCAGGCTATCCTGTCCCCATACAAACACAGTGGAAGGTGGGTTTGCATCCAGATCACCTCTCTGCTCAGTTGGGCTCATCGAACGAGCTGAACCAGCTGGGTGATTTGCACCCAGATGTGAAGTGGAAGGAATGAGCACCTCCAAGTTTGAGGATGTGATTCCCAGCAGGAACGGGATGACTGCCCCATGAGCGTAACTTTGTGCTGAACACTGGGGGGGAATCTCTGTCTAAATAAATAAATAAATCTGGATAAATTCCCAGATGATTAAACATGCAACTATTTTGCTGGTATTAACTGAAATGAGTAAAGAAAAGTAAAGGGGTTATATTGGCTGGGTCTGATTATTGGAGGGGTCATAACCCTCCTAACCCCCCTGGAAATTATACCCCTGGACTGCCCAATCCCAGTGAATACAGTGTGAAAGGGAAGATTGATTGAGTTAGGCTTCAGCTCTCACGTATGGCCACAGGCTGTGTGGAGTGACCAACAGAGTGAGCTATCTGCATGAGGAGCCTGGGCACTCCCTTAAAGACAGGGTGAGGAGCTCAGTCATTTGGGAGCTCCTCCACATCGACATCTGACAAGGATGCCTCCTGGGTGCCTTAAAGGTGAGGTGTTTCAGGTATGTCTATTGAGAGGGGACACGTGGCGATCATCCATTAAATTGCCAAAAGTATTTGCTCGACTTCCTTCACACACACATGAACTTGAGTCAAATCCCATTCTTAATCCACAGGGTTTAACATGAAGTCTGCCCACGCTCTAATTCATCCCAAAGGCGTTCTGTCATGTTGAGGGCAGGGCTCAGTGCAGGCCAGTCAAGTTCTTCCAAAACCCAAACCGCTCATCCATGTTTTTATGGACCCTGCTTTGTGCACGGGTATGCAGTCATGTTGGAACAGGAAGGGGTCATGCCCAAAACTGTTCCCACAAAGTTGGGAGCATTAAATTGTCCAATATGTCTTGGTGTGCTGAAGCATTAAGAATTCCTTTCACTGGAAATAAGGGTTCAACTCATTAGACATGTACCGTTCTCCTGGCAACTGCCAAACCCAAACTCGCCTATCGGATTGCCAGACGGAGAAGCGTGGTTCGTCTCTGCACACTGCTCTTGAGCTTATCTGAAGGGCACGTGACGTTTGGAGGTCAGTACTGATACCTTCTGCAGAAAGTTGGTGATCTCCGTGCACTAGGCACCTCAGCACGTTCCCACTCGCAAAGCATAACATATTACTGTGTGTGACAAATCGTCGGTATATTATGCTTTCTGCCACAACATGTTCCTATGTTATGCGTTCGGAAACAGGAGGAAACATGAGAACCGTTTGGACTCAATCTGCACATGTACATTTAGTTTTCTTTAATCGCTTTGGAAAACACTATCTAACACCATTAAGGTTATGGCTAGAGTTAGGATTAAGGTTAGGGTTAGGGCTGGAATACACAGCTGGAACGTCAGTTACCGCCGGGAGCGTCATTCCATTGAATTTCATCCACATACCTTTTGTGTTCCCATGAGACATGACATGACAAGTTGTCGGTATTTTACGCATTGGGAATGAGAACGGGCTGCACATTACCACCATGGAGTCCGCTGAGCTCCTGAGAGCGACCCATTCTTTCACAAATGCTTGTAGAAACAGTATCCATGCCTAGGTGCTTGTCTTTATACACCTGTGGCCATGGAAGTGACTGGAACACCTGAATTCAATGATTTGGATTGAATACATTTGTTGATATAGTATATGAGCTGGTTTTGCTTGTGAACACGTCTGTGTCCCACCAGAACAGGTGGAGTAGGTGGCCAGGAAGAAGGAGGTCGGTTTACTTACTAACCTTGTATTATGTTTAGATTTTTCTTTATAAAGCGTTTCACTTTGGGATAAACACCGTGCAAGTTATCATATATATTCTTTTATTTTTGGCCATTCTTTGCCTTCCTTAGGTAAGACAGTATAGGGAGTGACAGGAACGTGGACGACACACATGGGAAATGGGCTTGTTGTTCATTTATTCTTGTATTACTGTATTATTCTTGTGCAATTATTGTTTCACTCCACCCACGCAACTCCATTTCCCACAACAGGACAGTACAAAGATCTGTCCACATACTTTTGTAGTGTTTGTGAGCACAAATTAGCATCCACAAAAATGACATAAACAAGATGCAATTCTGGACATTAGGGGTGGAGCTAACCATCCTTTTCATTATTACATAATCAATTGATTGATTAGTCATTAGGCAGCAGCTCTAGTGCCCACTGTGTGTGTGTGTGTTACCTGACAGCCTGATGAGGAGGTCAGACGCCATCTTGGTGCTGACATCAGGGCTGAACAGAGAGGTGGCTGCTGGGAAGGGGCTCGAACCTGCGGCTTGTGCGTCATCGCCTGTGTGTGTCTTTGTGTGTGTGTTTGCAGGGTGTGCGTGTCGTTTGGCTGCAGCAGAGTGAGGCTGCAACACACTCGACCCACGCTTCATTTTCTTTTTCCGTGTGTGAAAAAAATAAGAAAGAGAGAGAGAGAGACAAAGAGAGAGAGAGTGAAAAGGGGAGTCAAAACTCAGAAGAGAGGAGGGCAAGAGAGGAGGAAGAGGAGGAGGAGGAGGAAGGTAGTGGTGCTAAAATAAGACGAGTGTGTTCTTCAACATATGGACGTGAGCAGAGCATCGTAGAGAGAGGAAACGAGGGTGGATTTGATCTTCAGAGCGAGCTGTTGCTGGCTCTCGGTGACCTGAAAGAGAGAGGAGGGAAGACGAACGGAGGGGAACGGGACGAGAGAGGGGGAGGAAGAGGAAGCAGCGAGGATGCAGGGCGAGAGAGAACAGGGGAGAGGAAGATAAAGGGAGGAGGAGGAGGAGAAGAAAAGGAACAAAGTGAATCTGTGAATAATAAATTATTGAATGGATAAGGCCCAATAAGGGGATAAATCATCATCTGTTATCACCATGGTAACGGACCCTGCCTCGTCACCTCCTGCCCTGACCTTCCTGTTGAAAAACAATAATCGTCACTTGTGATCAGTGATCATCAATAACTACTCCGCCTGTCACCGCCTGTTAGCCTTGGTCACTTTTTGCCCCTGAAAGGAAAAAAATTGACTGCATCCTAGGAAAATACTTTCATTTGAAGGCTAACAATAAAGAGATAAACAAACAAATAAATAAATACAAATGTAATGAATAAATAAATAATAATCTATCAGCGTCCCATTGTAGGAATGTAATTTAAATAAAGATCAATGAAAAAGTAAAATAAATTATCTAAAAATTGACATGCCTGTGTCTGTAGGAATATCTACGTAATTTAAATGTGCAAAAAAAAAAAAAGAATGAACACATGAACACAGGCTGCAAGAACACACGTAATTTAAATGAACATGATTGTTGTTGAAAAAACTATTTTAAACAATAAATCACATTTCATTTTAAAAATGTAAAAAAGACCCGTCAGAATATCAGCCCCAAATCAAAATATTTTAGCGCCATGATGACTCAAAACTACACCAAAAAAGTCAATAATCAAGAAATATTGTGCAAATAATGTATGTATATATATATATATATGTGTGTGTGTGTGTGTGTGTGTGTGTGTATAAAAATTATTTTCTATAGCAATTAAATAATAATAGTAAATAATAATAAAAAAAATCCTGCTAAATTCACTGCTTCATCTTTTTAACATTTAGGTCCTTGTTAATTAAAAAACTGCACTAAATAATTTTATTTAATAAATCAAATGTGGCTGGCAGGCTCTTCATTGCCTCGGTTCACTCACTACCCCCGTCGACCCCGTTTCGCTCTGCCTCCTGCCTCCGTCTCTAAGCGACACCGCGCGGGCTGCTGCTGCCGCCGCATCCGGCAGGGAGGCGACAATCATCGGGCACCAGCTTCTCCACAACACCCCCTCCCCTTCCCCTCACGTCCCTCTCGGTGTCGGTCGGTCGGTCGGAGTCAGAGCCCCCGGAGCCCCGCTGTTAGCTAGTTACCTCCCTCCTCCTCCTGTACAGCCCCCCCCGCAACATGGCTGAACGGCACTCCGACTCCCCGCCACACCGAGTCAGAAAGTCATCACGCCATTTAGAGCCGCCTAACTGCCAATTTACACATTTTTAACGGTTTTCCCTCGCGCTGCCTTCAGTTATGGGGAACAAGGGCAGGTGTCAAGAGTCCAACGGCCCCCCCACACACACCTCCTCCCTCCCTCCCTCGCCTATCGATCTCCTGCAACATGGCTGAACGGTAACCCGACCTCACGAGACCTCAAAAGTCATTTTCACGGGTCAGTTACCAACGATACCCAGGCACGGCTAGCACCAACCCGCCCCGGGACACCACGGTTCTCTCCCAGCTTCCCACCTCCTCTTCCCTCCGTGACTTACCGGCACCAGGGGGGGCAGGTGGTGGTGGTGGTGCAGTCCGGGGCATAGCCTATATATAGACTGAAGATCTGCTCCGTGTTAAATTTCCTCTCGCTTTTCCCGTGGTCACATCATCTCCCCGCGGTTTCCTCATCCAGAGATGTGAAAGTTAAAATTAAAAAAATGACAACAGCGAGGAGACGATCCGTCTGTTCCCCGAGCCCGAGGATGACGGGTCGGTCACCGAGCAGGGCAGATGGAGGTTTCCGCCTCCTCCTCCTGCTCTCTCTCTCCCTCTCTCTTTCTCTGTGTGTGTGTCTGTGTGAGGGAGATGCAGCGTGTGTCTGCACAGGGCACATAACATGTTAACAGCCTCCATCAGCACGAACCATGAGGAGAAACCTGTATGTTGGATACTCTTAAGGGGGACATGATCCTGCAACTGCTCCACTGTCTCACTGAACACTGATCTAACAGACCTGTTTCCACATACTGCATCAGGTTGGCTGCATGCAGTATTACAGCAGTAACTTTTCCCCAGCTCAGATTACACACCGATACTTGAACTGCTGGCACCAATACAAATAGTGATAATGTTTGCAAAAGAAGATGAACTATTAGGTTGTTATTATTCAGGTTATTATTTAAAATGTTTTAGTTTTCATTTATTATCTCAGCATTTCAAGATTTTATTTAGGTGTGTCCAATTTTAGACGTATAGTAATTTGGATTTCTTTTCTTTTCTTTTTTACATACCTAACCTAAAATTTTGGCAAGTCTACGTGGCCATAACTGTTTAGCCACATGTTTTAGCAGTAACCTGACTACTAACCATGTGACATTAACTTTTGCATCATTTTGGACCTGTGACACTGGGCCGCCATAGACCACCGCTGGTTGCTAGAGAGAAAAATTTGCACTCCCTGACTGGTTGGTGAGTGGTTGATGCCAGCTGCGGTGAAACTGACTGCTAAAGCTCCAGAGTGGTCAGTGACCATTCTGGAAACTGCTGGTCACAAGGAAAATAGCTGACTGCTTTGGTCGGAAGCAGATCGCTGCTGGTGCTTGTAGTTTGCATGTCTGCAAACACTTGGCAACTCCTCTCCAAGCAGTGGTGAAACTGTGAAGTCCATTTTTTGTTTGTTTAAGATAAGATAAGATAAGATAAGATATTTATTGTCACTGTTACCAGAACAATGAAAACCATTTTGGGAGTGTTTTGAGTGTCCAGGGTGCGAGGGTTCTTTGATGATGATGCTAGCTTTCTGCTGACGTCTGCCAGTATAAATGTCTCTGAGGGGGTTAGTGAAATGCCAGTTGCCCGCTCTGCTGCACTCACCACCCATTGCAGTTTCCTATTGTCCTCCACAGTACAGCAGTTGAACCAGAGTGTGGAGCAGTAGGTCAGAGGGTAGAAGTTAATTAGCAGTCTCTGGGGTAATTGGGCCTAACGCAGCTTCCTGAGGAAGTACATCCTTTGTTGTGCTTCTCCTACCTGGTGGAAAATGTTTGTGGACCAGTTAAGGTTGGTCGAGATGTGGACCCCAAGGAACGTAAAGCCTTCTACCCTTTCTACAGGGTGGGCCATTTATATGGATACACCGTAATAACATGGGAATGGTTGGTGATATTAAAGTCCTGTTTGTGGCACATTAGTATATGTGAGGGGGCAAACTCCTCAAGATGGGTGGTGACCATGTTGGCCATTTAGAAGTCAGCCATCTTGGATACAACTTTTGTTTTTCAATAGGAAGAGGGCCATGTGACACATCAAACTTATTGGTAATGTCACAAGAAAAACAATGGTGTGCTTGGTTTCAACATAACTTTATTCTTTCATGAGTTATTTACTCATTGGGGGCAGGGATAGCTCAGTAGGTAAAGTGGTCGCCCCATGATCGGAAGGTCGGCGGTTCGAATCCACTTAACGGCTACCCTGAGGTACCCCTGAGCAAGGTACCGTCCCTACACACTGCTCCCCGGGCGCCTGCTTAGTGGGCTGCCCACTGCTTCACAGAGTGAATGGGTCAAATGCAGAGAAAAACAAGTAATTTCCCCATGGGGATCAATAAAGTATCCATTATTATTATTACAAGTTTCTCTTTGTTCACAGTCCAGCAATAATTGCTGGTGTTTTATTTTTTCAATTTCTTGTGTGTGCGGTGAGAATTAATAGAGGTTTCAATTGTTTTTTCTCTTTTTGACTTGCTCTTTCTGAAATACATGCCTTTCAACAGCCATTGACATGTCGAAGAGGTTAACACGTGAGGAGCGGATCGAAATTGTGTTGATATCTGGTGAACGCAGTAACCGGGTCATTGCAGCAGATTTCAATGCAAGACACCATACGAGACCACCCATCTCCCATGCTCCAACTGCTTGCTAAGTTTCGTGAAACTGGTTCAGTGTTGGATTTGCCAAAATGCGGACGCAAGAAAACTGTCACTAATGAAGAAACATCAGTGGCTGTCCTAGCTTCATTCAGCAAGAGTCCACAGCGTAGCACTCGCCGCATGTCACTGGAGAGTGGCATTGGTCGAACATCCCTTTGGCGGATATTAGCTACTCACAAATGGCACCCTTACAAACTCCAGCTACTGCAGCATCTAAACGAGGATGACCCAGATCGGCACACAGAATTTGCAGAATGGGCAAAACAAAAATTGGAACAGGACCCTCAGTTCACGCAAAAGATTTTGTTCAGAGATGAGGCAAACTTTTATGTGAACGGTGAAGTTAACAAACTGTCAGGCTCAGGAGGGACTCGGAGTCAGACCGTCACTAAAGTTCGTGATTTATTATATGTATATTTGAAATTGCTACATGATGATGTGTTTCCCTCTTTGTGCACTGAAGCTGGCAGGTTCCCTGAGTTTTTCCAGCAAGATGGTGCACCACCACATTATGGGTGCCAGGTCCGAGCATTCCTAGATGAACAGTTTCCTGGAAAGTGGATTGGTCGTCGTGGGCCAGTTGAATGGCCCCCAAGGTCTCCCGATCGGACCCCCTTAGACTTTTGGGGTCATCTGAAGGCATTTGTCTATGGTGTGAAGATACGAGATGTGCAGCACCTGAAACTACGGAAACTACGGATACTGGATGGCTATCAGTGTGTGAAGAGTGGGAGATGAGGATTGCATTGACAATCCAACACACAGCACATTGAACACATTTTATAAGTGGTCAGAAACTTGTAAATAACTCATGAAAGAATAAAGTTACATTGAAACCAAGAACACCATTGTTTTTCTTGTGACATTACCAATAATTTTGATGTGTCACATGTAGGGATGGGTACCGGTGTCCGGTGCCATGATGGCACCGGTTCTGACATAAACGGTAGTAACCAGACCGAAAAGCAGCGCACATTTCGGTGCTTTATTTCAGTGCTTTTTTTTCCTGAGCTGTGATACACTTCTAGCCAATCATTTTACGTTTCCGAGGATAGTAGGCGGGGCCAGGTACGTACGTTCAGTTAGAGCAGAGCTACAGATTAAAAATGTCCAAGCCGAAGCGGTCAAAAGTCTGGCTGTACTTCACAGCAAAATATGCAAACTCAGCAGCCTGCAACAAGTGCTTTAAGCTGATACTGTCAAAGGAGGTAACACCTCGAATCCGATGAAACACCTGGCGACACATAGCATTTTTTTTAAAAGCCGAGAAATGCGCCGTATTTGATAGCTTGCTGCGAGACCTCACACTGTGCACGTCGGGTGGGTTGCCAGTTATCGGACCCGGAGCAACATCCCCCAAAAACACGAAGAATAGAGTCCTGGCCCCTAGCCCTGCCAGTGTAGCAGAAATGATGAGGATGATGATGGCAGCAGAAGCCGTTCTTCTCTGCGTGAGTCGCTTAATGTTGTTCGAGTGTAATTTACGTTGAGTAGGCTAACCACGTTATTACATTAATGCATGTAAGGTGAACTAGCAAACATCATCATAGCTACATGCGGCTGTCCTCTTGTTTGATGGCAGATACTCCCTTCACCCTGGACAAAAAGGCTAAAATGACCAAAGAAAAAGTGGGAAACAGTTAAACATGAGAGGTTTTTGGACAAAGTTTGTGTTTTTTTTCCATTGTTTAAGCACTGCTTCCAGCCAGGAGTGATACCATATATGCCCCATAGCTGCAGAAAAGGCTAACATTGTTATCTTTTTGCAAAAAAAAAACAAAAAACAGCTGAACATGAGAGGTTTTTGGACAAAGTTTGTGTTCTCCATTCTTTAAGCACCGGTTCGAGCACCGTTTAAGCACCGGTTCGAGCACCGTTTAAGCACCGGTTTCAAAAGTACCGATTTGGCACCGGTATCGGATAAAACCTAAACGATACCCATCCCTAGTCACATGGTCCTCTTCCTATTGAAAAAACAAAAGTTGTATCCAAGATGGCCGACTTCTAAATAGCCACCATGGTCACCACCAGAGATGGGTAATAATGGATTGGATTTATATAGCGCTTTTCAAGGCACCCAAAGCGCTTTACAGTGCCACTATTCATTCACTCTCACATTCATACACTGGTGGAGGCAGCTACGGTTGTAGCCACAGTTGCCCTGGGGCAGACTGACAGAAGCGAGGCTGCCATATCGCGCCATCGGCCCCTCTGGCCAACACCAGTAGGCAGTAGGGTAAAGTGTCTTGCCCAAGGACACAACGACCAGGACAGAGAGCCCGGGGATCGGTTACAGATACGCATCCCAACCCCCTGAGCCACGGTCGCCCCATCTGCCTAACCCACTCCTGCTTTACAGGTGAAAATAGAGCAAGAGGACCGCTAGTCTTTGACTTTATTTATTTTCTGTTGTGTTTTACTTGCATCTATTTGAAAGACTGAGTGTAAACACAAAAAACATTTTATTTTATGTGCTGGAATGTGCAGAAAATAGGTTTAAATGTTAAACTAATTTATTCAAGTCAGAGAATGTTGCATATAATTACAGGTTTGCTTGATGCATAAAGTTAAAAGATTAAAACTGATAAAAGAAGTTAAAAAAGAGAGAGACTTTTCCATTTGATTACATTTTGTATGATGGATTATGTAGAAAAAGTAGAATTGGGCTGAAAGATCTATCGCTTTATCACCTCTTCAGGTTGTAAATCGTGTTTTTAAAAAGTAACTAAGTAACTAAGTAATTAATTACTTTTGAAAATAAGTAATCAGTAAAGTAACGGGATTACTTTTTTGGGGAAGTAATCAGTAATTAGTTACTGATTACTTTTTTCAATTAACTTGACCAACACTGGTCACCACCCATCTTGAGGAGTTTGCC